ACCGCGTGCTAAGTTGTATACTTGTATTCTGTCTTATCTTTTAGCACAGAGCCATGCCCTATGCCCTAAGTCCAATTTATTAATTTAAAAGACTTCACTGTGCTTTTAATCTTAATTTAGAATCATTATATATCACCCTAAGTTGTCAAATTAAAACTAGACAACAAATCTCCTTTTAGCCGTTAACCGTACGCATAGTTGTTAAATTAGCGCACTGTTAAGTTCATTCACTTAGAGGTCAACCTTACTCAATTTAAGGACTTAATAACACTCACATCCAACCTTCTAATCCCTCTGTAAAACCCCAGAGTCAATAAAAATGTTCCCATGCTCCAACAGTATCCAAACAGTTTGTAGAATTTTTTTTTCAGAAAATTACTATTTGGAAGAGCCTGCTCTAAATTCCAAGAGCAGGCTCTTTTTTGAGCCTGGAGCCGGCTCTAAGAATGTAGAGCCGGCTCAATGAGTATGGGAGCCGGCTCCCACATCCATGGAGCTGGCTCTCACCTCATTTGAGAGCTTCCAGTCCCCGTTTGCTCCGTCCTTGTCCTTCTGCTTCTTCTCCGGCCTATGTCCACCCTTCAGTTGATTTCTAAAACTTATCCTAGGGTCTTATTAATACCAAAACAGACTCTCAATGGTTTTTGAACAATGATTTGAAATCAAATACAGAGATTTAACTAAGCAATTTACTAGCATGCTTAAAGAGCAAAACTAGAATAGACAATAACGAATTTATTTCAGACCACTTTCTCAGACAACAGATAATGAAATTTGACATATAATAATCATGCAAGATCCATTTAAGACTCAACAAATTCCCTAGAGTCTAAAAATTACAACCGGACTAACAAGTTTTTCCAATAAAACTGAAAACAGATGTGTACGAATTCTGTAATAGATTCGATTACAACCCAAACAGATTATCAATATAACATACCATTAACATGTAAGTTTTAGTTTATAATTTATTTAACCCTAGAGACTACCTAGGTGCACAGAACACAAGCCAAAGGGAAGGAGAAAGTAGAAGAACTTGCCTGTAGCTTTGGTCTCAAAACTGTGTTGTCGTCTTCCCAATTTCCGGCAACCACTGACCACCTTCAAGCCTCCTGTGGTTTTGGTTTAATCCACCACAACTCTCCCTTGGCCCTCTCTGTTCTCCTTCTAAGTTTTGTTCTGTTTTTCTCTCGTTCAATTCTCTCCAAACTCTCTGTATTTTCACTATGTCGTGAATAGGGTTATCAAACCCTAGGGACGTGTAAGTTATATATTTATAACTAACTCCAAATCCTAAGTCAATAAAAACCCTAGACGTAAATCCTAATTAATTATGTCGGCAAGCCCATAAAAATACTAAAATCCTAAAAGATAATTCATACACTTAATTTAATTAAACAGTTACGTCCATGCAAGAAAATAATTAATAATACAATTAAAGTAAGCATAGCAACCAAAAATACAATTAATTTAATTAAAATATACTTAACCAAATAAGGCAATTTAAATACAAAACTAACAGTTTAAAACAAATAAACCAATTAAACATTTAAGCAACTAGTCACATAAAAATGCAATAAAGATAATTGAATTCCAATTTTATCCTTTGTAAAACTAGGGGTATTACATTATGGTACAAGTAAAGAACTATGATACCCTTGAGTCTCGATTTATGGATTCATGGCAAATTACCAATTTGCCCTTTTTGGACCTTGTTATTTATTTTTGACGTGAAATGACCGTTTTACCCTTGGATGATTTTGGGTCGGGTAAGGACCCGTTTAATGATCCGGATCCATGAGGATTTGGGTCGTTACAGTTTCTTACTCTCTTTTATGTTAATATGCTTTTATTGGACTGTTATTATTTTATAATGCTTTGTTTGTACTATTTATATTCTGCTATGACTAAGTGTTTTGTTTCAACTACATTGTGATCATGTTTAATTGAAAAAATTTCATTCTCTGCACATATAATGTGTTTATTGTTCTGTGTTCCTTTTCTACATAATTTTGTGTTCCTTTCTTGTTTAACCTTTTAAGAAATATTGTTCTTTTATTGTTATATTCTAATACAACATATGATTTAATATAATAAATCTCTTGTACTATTGATTCACTAGCCTTTTTCATTGCTTGACAAAATAAAATTATATTCTCTAATTCTTCGACTGTAAATATTACCGCAAGAATATTAGGGTTTCCATAAGGTTTTGCATAAAAGGACTTTAAAAATAATGAAAAGTAACAGGAGGATTGGCTTAGTGACGGATGAATGATAACTTAAAGTTTTGAACTTATTCTGCTATGAAATTTTAAATAAATAAATAAAATTACTTTAGCACTTATATTTGCAAGTTACCCTTAGTTATTTTAATTTTATTTTTCTTTCTCCATTTCGTTTCCAAATTATTATTTTTTCTCATCTGAACTATTTTACTATTCCAAAATATAACTAAGTTACAATCATGGGCATCACATATGGTTCTATCTAGTACTTTAAATGTAATTTCACAAGTATTAAAAAATGTGTTTCAGTTTATAAGTTACTCATTTCTTCAAGGAGATACATAATATCAATAATAATAAAAAATAAAAAGTCACATTTTTTTAATTATTTTTAATAAAATACAACCTTAAAAATCTATATGAGAGTATTTATTTTAGATTCATAAACGATATTGTTTAAATTTTCATATATTATCAATAATTATTTAAGAAAATGTCAAGTAGTAAATTATTTGGTATATTTTAGACAAATATTTTTTTTCATGTCAAATTAACTCTCACAATGCATCTAGAAAGACTCTCCTTGTAAGATAATGTCTGACATCACATAGTGGCACTATTGCAAATTAAATCATCTATGGCGAACTCAGTAAAATAGTAGAAATAGGGATATTTTGTTAGAAGTAAAAATGATTTTTTTGAGATAATATAATATATATATATTCGCCCTCTAGTCCTCTATACTTTAAACTTTTGCATTTTAATTTTTTAACAAACATAAAATAACTTATTTATCTCTCAATTATAAAGTTTAAAAATAATTTAAATGAGATAATGAATATTAATACTTACACTAATTTATTACAAGAAAAAAGTGCAAAAAAACCCCTAGACTATTGCCATTTTGCAAGAAACCCCCTAAACTACAAAAAAACGCCCTTGAACTAACAATTTGTTGCAATTAGGGACATGGGTCACTCGCTTATGATCGAAAAATGGAAAAGACAATTTTGCCCTAAACATAAACGAGGGCCATAGCCGAGGGGCCAGTTTTTGGGGCTGTTTCTGATCGCGAGGGAGGTTGAAGATAGAGAGAATCGGATTCGGCTGAGTGAGCGAGTTGGGAAGGTATTGAGTGGTGGTTGAGTTGGAAGAAACCGAGTTGAGAAGAAGCAGAGAGAAGATTGGGACGGAGAGAGAGATGAGGGGAAGAGAGGTGATGGGTGGTGGTGGTGAGTGGCGAGTAGGGAGGGAAAGATTGGGTGGGAGGCGATAAAGGAGTCGGGAGAGAACGTACGCGGCGTCGGCGTCCGATGAGGAGAAAGGGTTGGGTTGGATTGACGGCGTTGGCACTACGTTCGTCATGGGTACAAACGCGTTACGCGCCTATCAAGGACGGTAAAGAATCAAAGGGCGTTGGGGACTCTCCGGCAACCGAAACTCTTCCGGTGGGCTCTATCTTTCTTCTGTGTTTTTTTGGGTTTTTTCTGTGATTGATTGTGTGAGTTGGAAGAGAGAAACAGAGCTCTCCACAGCCCATCACCGAATCTGTCTTACCAGTGCACAGCTACGCTTCATCACAAACCGCCGTCATCACCGTTGTGCTAGTCATTGAGTATCACCGTCGGCGCCATCATCTCCCTCCTTATATCGCCACCATTTCTCCTCAACTACAGCCGCCACCACCACTTCTCCTCAACCACATCCGTCGCCATCACCTCTCAACCACGGCGAACCCCGCCTCCTCTACATAGCCGTCTCCGCCGCCCCATGCCGCCAATTCCTCCAAGAACTCCGCCTCCGACATCCAAATCTTCATCGCATCATCATCATCCAAGAACAAATTCCAAGAACCCCAAAATTCAAACCCTTAACAGTGCTGAAGTTGAGAATTTTGCAAATTTAATTGACACTACCGCCGCCATTAACTTCAAGTCGATTTCAGTATAAGGAAGTCACTGGAGACGACGGTAGTTCGCCAGGGATTTTTGAGAAAGAGTCTTAATACACCTTTGTTGAAATTAAAAAATCACAAACCAATTAAAATTAGATTTTAATTTGAGAAAAGCCAAACCCATATGACTGAATCCGAGCGGAGATGTTTTTGGGAAAACCCACCTTTGATCGATGAAATAGAAATTCATGTACAGAGAAAGCAATTAGTAGCTATCACAAGCGATATATATGTTTCTTTAGGGTTTGATCAAATAAAGGTCAATTGAGAAAATATAAGAATTCATTCTTCTCCAGCCTGCAATTGTTTCTTCTCCGGTGTAAGCGTCTTCTGAAAAATCTTTCATTTTTTTTAGTCTTCAAATTTCAATCCCAATTCTAATTTTTTTTTAGTTCCACAACGAACACAAATAAATTTCTACACTGAACGTGATTTTTTTTTTTTTTTTTTTCCCATCTTGCGGAGAAGATAAACAGTAATTTGTAAATGTGTGTAACTGTGTATATAGAAAGAAAAGCATATGGACGTGTTTGGGGGTGTTTAAATTGTGTTTGGGTTTAATTGTTATAATAATAAGGGGTTTTAGTGTCTTTTCAAGATTACAAGGGTATTATGGTCATTGTCGTCACTTTAATGGAAAGACCCGTCCGGAAGAGTGATGGATGGAGTGATCTGTAACAAATTTGTATAGTTTAGGGAGTTTTCTGCAATTTTGATAGTTTAAGGGTTAGTTGCAAGTTTTTAGTACAGGGGTTTATTTTTGCACTTTTCTCTTTATTACAATGAAACTTAAGAAGTTTTTACTTGGTTATGAAAATGTAATTTATTTTCCCGAGTACAAATGTGTGAAAAGATATGTTTTCGTTTAGAAATAAATTTCCAAAATGATCACTTTACCAATTTCATTCGGAGATCCAGGTCTCTCTCTCTTTCTGATTGTGATTGAAGCTGCCCTCGATTCGCCAACAACTGAACTTAGGTTGCAATTCCATACCAACATCGACTAAAAACCCTAACTCAGCTGTGGTTAGTAATCTATCTATTTTTCTTTTTGAATCCCTTTAATCTGTTTCTCTGTTGTTGTTTCTCTTTGATTTTTTTGAATTCTCTTATTTTACTGTTTTCTATATATATATATATATATATTGAAGAACTGTAAAATGGCAAAAGCATAATAATATGGTTATGAAATCAAGGTCACTCAGGCATGGATTAGCTGACATTTCTTTGTTTTTTGTTCTTTATACAAGCTTAGCTCTCATTTGGTGATTGAATCGGTGTAAATTTGTGAACTGGAACTCTGTGAACAATAATGTTACCTCGTCATCACACTTTCATTAGTTTTCGTAACATTTTGATATTGGGGATTTTCCTTTGTGAAAATAAGGCTAAGAGACCATAGAAATTAGAAATGACATAGCAGTCGTAGGAACTAAACTGGGTTAGTTTTAGTTTTAAATTTCTTAGGTTTGTCGCACCAAAACTGCAATGTATAATCATTGCAGGCATACATAAAAGAATATATTGTAGGTTGTAATTTCATTTAAATGCTAACTCTTTGGTTCATGTACAAACATATATGGCATTTCACAGTGTTATTGCATAATAGAGCATTACTGTTGTTGACAAGTTTTTATTGCCTGCTCAATTTCAGGTATGTAAAGAGAGAGTATTGACTAAGGAGTTTTAGTTACTATGGAGGGCTGCAACTGCATTGAGCAATTTGAGCCGCAATGGCCATCTGATGAACTATTGATGAAATATCAATATATTTCAGATTTCTTTATTGCGCTTGCTTATTTTTCTATACCACTGGAGCTCATCTACTTTGTAAAGAAATCTGCCGTGTTCCCGTATAGATGGGTGCTTGTGCAGTTTGGTGCTTTCATTGTTCTATGTGGAGCGACGCATCTTATCAATTTATGGACCTTTAGCGTGCACTCAAGAACTGTGGTAATAGTCATGACTATTGCGAAGGTTTTGACTGCTGCAGTGTCATGTGCAACGGCTCTTATGCTAGTGCACATTATTCCTGATTTATTAAGTGTTAAAACTAGGGAATTATTTTTGAAAAACAAGGCTGCAGAACTTGATCGAGAAATGGGCCTTATCCGTACACAGGAAGAGACAGGTCGACATGTTAGAATGCTAACTCATGAGATCAGAAGCACTCTTGATAGGCATACAATACTGAAAACTACTCTTGTTGAGTTGGGTAGAACATTGGCACTGGAAGAGTGTGCGTTATGGATGCCGACACGTACTGGGTTAGAGCTTCAACTTTCCTACACTCTTCATCATCAGAATCCTGTAGGATTTACTGTACCCATTCAGCTTCCAGTAATCAATCAAGTATTCAATACCAACCGTGCAGTAAAAATATCTCCGAATTGTCCAGTGGCAAGACTACGACAGCTAGCAGGAAGGTACATGCCTGGGGAGGTTGTTGCTGTGCGTGTACCGCTTCTTCATCTCTCTAATTTCCAAATTAATGACTGGCCAGAGCTTTCAACGAGACGCTATGCTTTGATGGTTTTAATGCTTCCCTCAGATAGTGCACGGCAATGGCATGTCCATGAGTTGGAACTTGTTGAAGTAGTTGCTGATCAGGTTTGAGTTTTCCTAATTTTGTATCAACAAAGTCTACATGCTACATCTCGTTAAAAAATGTATGATAAGAATCACATAGAGAAAGGTGATGCTAAATAAGAGAACTAGAAAATCACAACCTTTCATTGCAAACAAATTGAAATTTGTCCATCCAATAGAAGGGAGGCATTTTTATATACCAACTACTTTACTAGCCCAGCATCCTTTCTATTATTTCTAAGGTCAAATGTTTGAAGTTATCTCATTAATGCAAAATTATTCAAGCTACCTAAAATTACGTCCGCTTGAAGTTAACTTGGCTGTAATAACTAGACGAAGAACGCATTCGTAAGAAGTAAGAACAGTGATTGACTTAAAAGAAGCCTTCACCAGCTCCTAAGTTCCTAACCCTAATAGAACACTAATAAACTCACTTAAATTGAACAAAGATTTACAGAGCATACTCAAAACAAAAACTTTTAAAGTAGCAAAAGCAGAAGATTTGAACAAGATTTTTTGCATGTCAACCTATACTGTCCTCTATTGAAGACCACCAAGATCTTTAACTTCGTAAGTGTTCAGAAGATTGATGGTTTGATGCTATGGACATGGGTTTTACCACTAGATCCTCTATGACCATGCAAATGACAACTCCTTTAACGCACCTTTCCAACAATTTTAATGTAGCAAAAGGAAAAGTAGGACTGTTGGCATCTTAGATATTATGGTGAAAAGGTTATTTTATACTATTCAAAGATGGTCCTGCTGATGCTATGAGAGCAACAATTTAGGTGCTCTTAAAGGTCTTAAAGAGGAAATCTCTTTAAGTGTTAGCAATCTTCTGGTGGAAGGTTATAATAGATTAGGCATAGAAGGAAGGTTGTTTTTGGCATAATTGATTAGGTAAATCTGTGATGTGTCCGGCACTATGCATGTCTCTTTTTTCTTAATTTTATAGGTCGGCTGATAGGAAGACGTGCTTGGCTGGGGGGTGGGGTGGGCGGGGGCGACATTCCTTGAGCATGTTCAGGACTTCAGGGTCATTCAATTATGGGTTTTTATATGGTTATATAGTTACCTTACCCTCTTGGGTGGCTTTGATTATTTCCTAGTTTGTTTAATTTCATGGTATATGTTTTGTCCAGTTTCATGCATTTATTATTCATCTATGATAAAAATTTTTGTTGCCTATTGTAAAGAAAAAAGGGCCTGATTAACAAAGGTTATAATGCCTGGAGAGTCTTATTCGTAAAATCTTCTTGTTGTTGCAGGTGGCAGTTGCTCTTTCACATGCTGCAATCTTAGAAGAGTCAATGAGAGCAAGGGATCTTCTTATGGAACAGAATGTTGCACTTGATCTGGCCAGGAGAGAAGCAGAGACAGCTGTTCATGCTCGCAATGATTTCTTGGCTGTTATGAACCACGAAATGAGAACTCCTATGCATGCCATTATTGCACTCTCTTCATTATTGCAAGAGACTGAGCTGACACCTGAGCAACGTTTGATGGTTGAAACAATCCTAAAGAGCAGTAACCTTTTAGCTACGCTCATAAATGATGTGTTAGATCTTTCAAGGCTTGAAGATGGTAGCTTTCAACTCGACATTGGAACTTTTAACCTACATGCGCTCTTCAGGGAGGTAGGATTATGCATTTTGCCAACTATTATTTATTTTAGAATGTCTTGTGGACATTATGAAATTTGTTGATATTTTCCTTGTACTGGTAGATGTTGTTGGCATAATTAGATGAATGTTTCTCATTGCAGGTCCTTAACTTGATAAAGCCTATTGCATCTGTCAAAAAGTTGTTTATTTCATTGAGTGTAGCTCCAGATCTGCCGGAGTATGCTGTTGGCGATGACAAACGACTTATTCAAGTTATTTTAAATGTCGTTGGCAATGCTATCAAGTTCTCAAAAGAGGGCAGTATCTCAATTTCAGCTTCTGTTGCGAAATCAGAATCTTTAAGAGATCCCCACGCTCCTGACTTTTTTCCAGTACCAAGTGATAATCACTTTTATATGCGTGTACAGGTAGGCATCTTCTATGCTCCATTGAACCTCTGGGTACTGAATGCTTGGCTTTTAGGATATAGTCATTTAATAATATATACCTTGAATGCAGGTAAAAGATTCAGGATCAGGAATCAACCCGCAAGATATTCGTAAATTATTTACCAAGTTTGAACAATGTCAATCACCAGCAACCAGAAATTCTGGCAGTGGACTTGGCCTTGCAATTTGCAAGAGGTATTTAATCACTTGTTATTATCTTCCTCAACTTAATTGTGGTTGTTATTGTCCTTGCACCCAGTTTGGATGGTTTTCTTCTTTATGCTTGTCTTGTAGTTTTTCTACTTATCAGAGAGATAAAAATAAAATTTTTTTTTTGGCTTTCTAGTTTCTCTGGGTCTAGAATTATATCTAGTCTATGAGTTTTTGCATATAATATTGGCTGATTAATATGCACTTATAATAATTTAACCTTTTCCTTGATGCAATCAGATTTGTAAATCTCATGAAGGGGTATATTTGGATTGAAAGTGAAGGTCTTGGCAAGGGATGTACTGCTGTATTTATCGTGAAACTGGGATTCGCTGAGCGGTCAAATGAATTGAAGCTCCCTTTTGCACCTAAGCTGCCAGCAAATCATAGACAGACTAATTTTCCGGGACTCAAAGTTCTTCTTGTGGATGATAATGGGTTAGTCAAACATCCGCCTTTTAACTTTATTTTATTTTTAGTTTTATTTTTATATATTTAGTTAGTTTTATTAATATCTTGGGGTGTGCTGCCCTGATTTCAAAGGTTTTTCCCCCATGATTGACTGATTGATTTATAGAATTCACAGTTCCCAAAGAAGAGGCAATAGAGGGTAATTGTGGGAAAAGTCAAAGAGAGTCCAAAATTAAATCAGAAATATGAAGACACAACCTAATTGAAGTGTGTTGTGATAATCTGCGCTCAGGTGACTAATGATCCCTTTGGTACGTAGGGCAAGTGGGAGTAAGGAAAGGGGGAGGGTAAAAAAGGGAAGGAAAATATTTTCATGGTTTGAGCCGTTTGATACTAGGAAATGGGGAAGAGAAAGAAAGAGGAGAGGAGAGTCCATCCTTATTTCTTGACATTTTCTTCCCGTAAAAATACATTCTTTTTTTATGTTGTGGTGTAATGATAAAATCACGAAAAAAACCTCAGGATGGCTGAATTGGCATAAGGCCTCTGGGCATGACCCAGGGGTATTGTATCAACTTCTTGGGCTCACCTGATATCTGAAGGGCTTGAGAACACCCTCTATTACCAGAGGAAAAAATAAAATAAAATCATGCAATGGCCCTAGCCATCCTTTTTTTTTTTTTTTTTTGTTAACCTCACTTTCCTTCTTTCTTAACCAAACAAAAACTGTGAAAGGCCCCTACTTTTCCATAGAGTATCTCCTTTCATCCCTTCTAGTGTTCTACCTTCTCTTTCATCTCCCTTACCAAATTAGGGCTTATTTGGATTTGCGCTTTCAAGTCAGACATGCATGATTGCTGTTTTAAGTTGTACAGCAACTAGTTACTTATCAAAAAAAAAACAAAAAATGTTGTACAGCAAGTAGAGCAAAAAACTGGGAATCCTAAAATTATACTCCCTCCATACCAAAAGAAGTGTCACTGCTTTCCTTTTTCAAATGGTAAAAAAAATAATGTCCATGTTCTGTTTTGAGATGTTCCAAAATTTTAATTCTCTAAATTGTCCTTAATTTTTGAAAATCTTTTCAATTCAATAGAATAAATGTTCAAATTTGTTGGATTAATTTTGTAAAATTCAAGGCTGCGAGACTTATTGTGGGACATAGTTTAGTAGGAATTTTATCTAATCTTGAGTAATAGATAGAGAACATGAAATTGGTTTGAATGACCCACACCCCTTGAAAAATTTATAACTACACCAGTATCAGAGATATATAGTAGAGACATACTTTTATAGCCATATAAATAATGCTACAACTTTTGTATAGGTTCCTTACATTCCCTGCCATGGATAACTACTAGTTGTACAAACCCTGGTGAAATTTGAAGGCAAAAATTGTTGTAGCTTGCCCTCCTCCAGATCGTTTTGCTTGCCTGTTTGTTAAGGTTGTTTTAGTGGAGGTGGGGATTATAAAGAGCTCTAAATTCTTAAATCATGCCGTGGGGTTGGTATTAAATGATCACCTTTTGAAAAGAGTTATGAGCTTGTGCAATGGAGACTTTGGGAGCTCAGTTTTACCCTTCTTGATAGGGGAATGGAGGGCTGCTGCTTTTAGTTCCTTCTCCTTCATCTTTTTTTTTTTTTTTTGCTTTTTTCTTAGTGTTGGAAATATACACACCACAAGAAAATAATGCATTACTGAAACCTTAGTTGAATGGATATTCGATGAAAGAAACATCTGATGTGAAGGAAACCAATTACGACGAAGAAAATATTTGGTGCTTTTTTTGTGTTCTGCTCTCATTTGTGTTAAATTTATGGTTGGAAACTTGGATTCGGTCCTTTGGATTTGAGCTGGATTTCAAATACCTGCTTTTTAAGTTATCAACAATTATACCTAGTGTTTAAATCTATGGATTTAAATTAGCTCTTTGCGTGATGGAATTATTTATGTGAATGATATGAAATTGAAACACAAAGGTTAGAAAAAACCTTCTTAAGGTATGAAAAATCATTACAATCTGTTTATTTCAATTTATTGATTTTTTTTATCACTTTGATGATATGCATGTCTTTTACAACCTATATAGACCATTGTTGTCGGAATGCTGTGATAGTGTCTTTCTCTTTGGTAGCTACAAAGTTGCTTGGTCCTTGGACCTTGTTGATTGGCAATTAGTGATTTGTTTGATCAATGAGAATTCAGTTTTAAGTATTAACCGGTCTTCTAGAACTCAATCTATTGACTTGAGAATTGTCCAATTTATTTATATATACCTTCTTTTATATCGACCCTCCCTGGTATAGACTTTAGATCTAAGTCATTTATATCGAACTTGACCAGAGTGCAATAGTTCAGTCAACAACAATACATTGGAATGAAACTGGGAGAATGATTTGCAGTTTGCTATTCTGTAATGTTTATACGCATTATCTGTATTTTGAACCTTTATTATTTATATTTTCAGTTTGATGAGTTCTAGTTTTAGTAGTTAGTGCAATTTAGTTGCTGCCTGCCATGGTAATTTAATTTAAACTTGCTAATACAGGGTTAGTAGGAGTGTGACCAAGGGTCTTCTTGTGCACCTAGGATGTGACGTATTGACTGTCAACTCCAGGGATGAGTGCTTGCGGGTAGTTTCTCAGGAACACAGGGTGGTGCTCATGGATATATCTATACCTGGTGTAGGAGGTTATGAAGTTGCTGTCCGAATACATGAAAAATTCGCAAATCGTCACGACAGGCCGCTGATAGTAGCACTTACAGGAAATACAGACAGGACAACAAAGGAGAACTGCTTAAGGGTTGGTATGGATGGAGTTATGGTAAAACCTGTTTCAGTTGATGAAATGAGGAGAATTCTGTCAGAGCTCTTGGAGCATCGGGTTCTACTTGAAGCCCAATAATCTTTAAGAAAATACTTACACCAGAAGACTCTTGTTGAAAAAAAGAAAAGAAAAGGCAGCTATGTAAAAGCTTCAGTAGAGCTTCTTGTACATACAACAAGGCGATGTAGCAAGATGATGGAAGATGGACATGTAATGCTCTGATAATTTGGCATGGCAATAGCAGGTTTACAAATCCTTCTTGTACAACCTGTTGCTCTATGTGCTTACTGGAAAAGGAAGCTATAAGCGGGCCATAGAAGTTGGAAAACACTCGTGCTTTGAAACTAAGTTGTGTATTGTGATATGGTGGTGACTTTGTTACTTTGCTTCAATAATGTTGTCTTACATTTGAATCTTTGTACGTGCATGAGAATTGGAGGTTGGTGTTTTGACTTAAAAAGACCCCTCCCCTTTACCTGAAAATGTTGAAAATTTTGAAATATCCAATGGTTATGCAGATTTTGTTCAATTTTTCAGTTGGGAGGGAAAGATAGTCCATAGAAAGGTGTAATTTAATTCAGCTTACCTAGGTCACAAGTTCATTGAATTCAATCTGTGATTCCAAGTGAGATAATGTCCTGATCATTTCAGGGAGTGCAATTAAAATCATAAGATGTTCTTTTGTAGTTTTGTTTTAGATATGTTTTTAATTTTACTCCTCCCTCTTGGTTAAATCTCAAAATAAGAAAATGAGGATTCTTGACTACTAATATTGTTTGACAATGGATCATGACAGAATTGGGCAACTTATAAAGATCACCAATACCGAAATGTAAAACTAGGGATGGGTGTATTGCATTCTTGCAAGTTAAATGAAATGCCTTTGAATGCAGAAGTTATTGAATCGAAAGAAAAAGAAATAAGTTTGTTTTGGCGGATAGAAATTTCTCATTTTCTTAACCCTACCATAAAGGTTTTTATCGGTGTATATTTTGCATCTTGCGCACTTTCTTGTTCAACCTTCTTCTCGATGCCAACAGGACGTCACTGAAAGTAACCTACAGTTCCTATTTACAGTAGTTGTTTACTCCTATTTAACCTCTACCTTGTCCTTGTTTCTTTCTAATGTCAAGTATAATATTTATAGTTGATTGAAAAAGTAAGCTTTATTTGATTTTTCACTTTCAGTAGACTAAATTTACCTCATTTTCAAGCTTCTATTTGACATGAAAATTTCTACATCACTAATTTAAGAATTTCCCTGGCAACATATGGTACATCAATTGCAACAGAATGTCAATGTTATTAATACATGGATTCAAACAGATCTGCCCTCTTAAACCAAATCAATTTCAGACTTTAATAACTTAAGAGCATTGACAGCAGTATAGAAGAGATCATCGCGGCAATTCTGCCATCTATATGATGCAGGAAGAAGTGTATACTTTAGTTGGCGTCAGCCCCAATCATCACCTGCAAAACACAATAAATTATCCTCCTCAAAATTTCACAACACCATATTTATAATATCTTATAATGTGTTTCCGTACCCCAGAGACCTATTCATTTAATGGTCCAGATATACCCTGCTCCTGCTGATCTCCTAATGCGTTGCCATCACTAGTGCAGTGATGTGTAACATTACATAAAAAGGAATGTACAGCTAGCCTTTACCTGGGAAACAAACTCCCCACAGAAGATACTGGAATCAATTTGCCGTTTAAAGATATTACCCATCTTTTTATCCTCCAACAAAAGACTAGTGCTGAATTCTGGAACCACTTTCTGAATTCGAACCGGGATAATGTAACCACCTACAAGCTTCGGAAATCAAGAAAGACATTTCTTCCTTTATGCATGTCTTGAAGCATTGCTGTGCAACTGAGTAGGTCTCAAATTGGGCTCATCCTGAAATTCGGGTCAAAACCCCAAAGTAATAAGTCCTATGCAAGTCAATGTGTTATTGCTTCAGGTACCAATCTAATTTTGTAACTCACAAACTGACCTGCAAGCTGTAACTGAAACTGGTTGGTGGTCTAAAATCCAAATGTCCCTACAAGAGTGTGAGTAAAATATCAAAACTTTATAATCTGAACTACAATATGTAACCCAGAATTTTTCTTGTAGTAAACTAAATTACAAATCTGATTAAACAATATATACCAGTCCATGCATGTTTTGCTGAGCGCCAAAAAAACCATCATGGCTTGGTCCTATAGAATTTAATTGTCCCTACAAACCCAATATGAGAAGTTACTAAAATTCCTATAATTTTCTTTATAAATATGCATTATAGTTATGGCTTCAGTATAACATACCAGCCCTTGCATGCTCTGTTGATTAACATAGTAACCATCATGCGGTGGCTCCATCAAGTTCAATTGTATCTGAAATCGATTTAGAATCAGCATGATTTAAATTGCAATACTATTGGAAAACTAGTAATATCTGCTACTACACTGCAGTCCAAGATTACAAGAAACCATACCAGTCCTTGCACATTCTGCTGTGTCCCATAATAGCCATTAAGGGTTATTCCTTCTGAGCTCAGATTTTCCTACAAGCAAGATTGCTCATATTAAGAAAATGTGCATCATCAAAATCACTGCAGCTATAGACTTGGTCCCTTTCTAATACTTCTCAATCACAATTGCGAACATAACACAATTTTCCAAAGGTTTCGCATTTGTTTTATTAAAGAAAGCTAGGTGTTTGATATACAAAATGAACTTCATTCAAGAAAATACTGTATCCCTATTGTAGTCAAAAACGCACTTTTATCACAACATACCGTGAAAGAAATAATGGAATCACAAATAGGAATACAATAACAAACCATTTGCTGCAAGCCATCTTGTGCCTCAACAATTATAGCTTCTGGCTCCAATTGTACCTGAAATAATACCAGGCCTTCTTATTTGTTCATTTTTGGCATAAACAGTTATGGAAGTAGAATGTATTGCCACCAACAGTTAATCCACAACTGACCTTTCTTTTCTTGTTTGCATTCTTCTTCTTACTTGGTTTGGTTGCAAGGCTTCCATGATTCTCTTCTTCCATGTCACGGAGACAAAGAGCATTGCTGCTAGATTCTGCAGCAGTTTTATTATTAACATTCACACAGTTCTTCAGAGCTTCAACTAGTGCGCGAAATGCAATATTATAACTCTCTTCAGATAAGGATCCTTCTTCACCCAATTCAATGGCTTGTTTACATAAATCATTGTACCGTTGCACCCTAGTGTGCATTCTCTCTGTTCCTTCTACCATTGATTGCCTGCTCTTTGCATCTTTTGTCCACCTCTTCAAAATATAGTGAGATGGAATGCTTGAAAGGCCACAAATTTGGAGAACAATCATTGCATGCCTACACAGAAAACCTTTGTATTCAAACATAAGACATGAACAAGAAACCTCTGACTTTGTCTCACCCCATATGACCATAAAAATTTCACCCTTCTCACAATCATCAACTCTAAATGTTATACTTGTTCCATCTTCGCTCTCCTTTTTAGGATGGCATCCAACTACACCCAAAACCTCAACTTGGAATTTCTTGAATATTGCATGCGTATATAATGTCGACATTTGTTTTTCGCAAGGTGAAGGAGATTTTAATGCCGGCTGTTTATGCCAAGTATCAAAATCAGCTATGGCTTCCTCTTCGTACCTATTTTGAAGAATTGTCCCATATTGTCTTACTAACTCTTTGAGAGTAATTTTCTTTTGAATGTATTTGTCAAAGAAAGAGATTATACTTTCAGAACGTTGAGTTGTTGACATTCCAGCTAAAAAGACATCCTTCATATAAGTAGGCACCCATTTTTTGCGATCTTCATACAATGAACGAATCCATTCATCATCTCCAAGCTCAAATTTATTGACCATCTTCCACCATCTCATATCAAATTGTTCATCCGTCCAAGACTTAAAAATACATTTGTTGAATTTCACCATAAAATTCTCGTGCCGGTTTATTATATGAGCGAGAGTTTCAGGGATCTTTTCCAATATATGACAAAGAGAAAAGCAGTGACGTGCATTTGGGAAAACTTCTTCAATTGCCGCCTTCAAGGCTTTGTCTTGATCAGTAATTATCACTTTGGGAGCTTGCCCGCCCATTGCTCTGAGCCATGTCTTCATTACCCAAACAAATGTTGAATTAGTCTCATCAGCAACCAAAGCACATCCAAGTAACATGGACTGAAAGTGATGGTTCACCCCTATAAAAGGGGCAAATGGCATTTTATCGTTTCCTTTGATGTAACTGGTGTCAAAACAAACCACATCACTGAAACTGACATAATCATTCCTACTTTTAGCGTCGACCCAGAACAAATTTCTTAGACGCTGGTCTTCACTCAAGTCTATTGCATAGAAAAAATAGGGATTCTCCCTCTGGATATGCATGAAATACTCTAGCATAACTTGTGCATCTCCCTCCTCTAAAGCCAAGTATCGCCCTTTATCAAACTGAGAATGCATGTTATTGCTGAGAAAGCCAACATTTTGATATCCACCAGATTGCCTAGACATCTCAACATACATCCTTCTTGTCCGTTCACTAACAGCATGCAAAATGTCAATATTATTCTTTTCAGCCAATTTTACATTCCTATGAATTCGAAAATGGTATGCAAGGGCTGGTAAAAGCTCATGATTATGCTCCTTTATGAATTCATGAATATACCATTTTCCATCCTTCCGTCTCTTCACATGCATGCTGGCTTTGCAGCCTGTTTTTTTAACACCTGGGCGCCTACTGCTGCCCTTATCTGATTCTGGTGTGACTCCATATCTGGAACATGCAAATTTGGCATCAATAAATTCTTTTGATTTCTTTGAACGGCGGCTGTTTTTTATTGAGGTGGTAAATCCCATGGACTTCGCATATTCTTGATAAAATGAATATGCTGCCTCATGTGAATTAAATTCGATTCCATTACGTGGCTCAAAATCTGTATCCCCTTCAATAACTACAATGTCCTTTTTGAGGGAATTAACAACCCCCTCATCTCTAGCACATGCTTCATCTACATCAACCATGTTTCCACTCACTTCATTACCACTATGCACGCTGTCTCGACAATCCACCATATCACCAACCACATTTCATCTCCCCCCCTGCCCAATCATGTCCACCAAATGGTAGTTTAAGATTTATTTCTATGAAAAAAATCTTTTTTTTTTTTTTTTTTTTTTTTTTTTTTTTTCTCTCCAGTGAATCAATTACAAAATTACCTGGAAAAAAAAAAAAAAAAAACTATGTGAACAACGAAACAACATTAGCAAATTCAGTTCCAGATCAATATCCAAAAATCAAAGCTATCCTAAGCCTCTCAACATAGGACCAACCAGAGTTAAAGCAATGCCAGCAAGTCCTTTATATTGGATAATTAATTCAAACTCAATTCCAGAGTTTCATTCTCCATTTCTTTTCAGGAACATAACAAAATAGTGGGACTAATAATGAGAGGTTTCATAAGGAATTATTATTTCATGAATAGGAGAATCCTTTATTGTTTAACTTAGGTTTCACTAATAAGTCATATACCACAGTTGTTAAAGGGGCATTGTGGGTTCAACAGAGTAAGGGCATCTAACTGTATAGCTAAATAATCAGTATTTTATGGCTGCACTAAATAAGTAGAAAGGCCAAAGTTGATCATTTGGGTGGTAAAGCAAAGCAAAGACAGCCCCATCAAGCAATGAATGCAAAGGTATCAATTTTCAGTTTCAGCACATCTATCACTATATAATGCTATTATTCATTTTTCTTTTATGCTTCTCTTTCAAGATGGGACAGTTGCTTCTTTCCTAATTTTAAGTGTAAACCTCAATGATGGGATTTTCTTTTTTGGTTTTCATGCCACTAGTCAAACTTCCTGAAAAGGAATATAATTTTCTTTTTTTTAACCAAAGCCTTGGCTTGAGTGGTATGTCCTCCACCTTCCTAAGGTGAAGTCGGTGAGTATATTAACCTATGAGGAAAAATAATAACAATTCATTATTTTTCGGGTGATTGCACAAGTTACAGAAAAAAGAAATTAAAAATCCCATCAGTATGAAGGATTACAATTCCATTGGGTTAAGGGTTGAATGAATATAAAAATTAAGTTTGCATTACACCAGTTAGCAGATAAAGATAACGTTATCATCCTTTTCAAGCCAAATTATGAATATAATTGACATGTAGCTGATCCACAGCAAGCTGCAAACAAACCTCATGCATTCTCAAGAAATCAATCCACCTTCCTAATTTTTACAAAAAGCAGCTAAAGCAAAGGTGCATTGATGCAACCCCTTCCTCAAACCTGCTTTTTTAACTGACTACCCCATTTAAACTAACAGGCCCCTCTGTGGATGGTGCTTGAGTGGCAGATATATTTCTGAGAAATAGGTATTTTAGTTAGTCTTTTATGAAATCTCTAGGAATTCTTCTTAAAGAGGAAAAGGAAATCAAACAAACACTACCTTTGTATTTTCAATTTCAATTTATAATTCTGATACTTTCAAATATGACCACAAATGAGAGAGCTCCAGAAGATATATACCACTCGGTATATCTAACCATATATCACATTTCAGTTGAGAGAAGCAATACTTACATGCATATGCAAATACGTATAAATACACACACACACCCACACACACACACACATATATAGATATGTGCTCGTGTGAGTATGCACAACAGAGAGAAAAAGGGAAAGAGAGACAAAGAGGAGTACTTGCTGGCGGAGAGGATGCAGTGGTCTTCGCGTTCCTAAAACTCGATAGAATTGGGTTTTTGGCTTTCTTCTTCCTCGAATTCGAGTTTGTGTGGAGAGAAGATCTTCGAACCAAGAAGCCCTAAATTGATCGGTCGATTGTTACGATTTGAGAAAAAATTGAACTTGTTTTACCAGGATCCAAATCCAATCCCAGACATTGAACATGTTCAGCGCGTTCAATCGTGTTCGTGTACCACCTGAATCTGATCTACCAAGCCCAGAGTTAAACAAGCTCTAGGTGCAGACGAGAAGTCATACACGTGTGTGTGTGTATATATACACCAATTTTTCTTTTATTTCTCTCTCTCTCTAGCTAAACCTTTTCTTTTTTTCTTTTTTTTCTTTTTTTTTTTTTTTTTAAATTTAATCTTACATTAAACTTTTCTAAACTTCTTCCCAGAGTTGTATATTTAAAAGTACCAAAACTTCCTCGTACTTATTAATGTTAATTTAGTACTTATTAATTCATGTATGCAACAACAAAAGGAGAAATGTCCATTTTAATAAATGAATAGTTTATATCGTTTTTAATCTTTCCTAATTCACAATTTCGCAAATAAGTTATTTCAAGAAATAATAGTAAATTTATATAAATTTGAGATTCTATTTTACAAAAATTGCATAAAGACAATTTTATTTGAAATTAATTTTAATAAGAAAATGACATTACATATATATTTTTGTAAAGGGCAATATTAGAAAGAAAAAAAATCATTGTTTCTGAATTTATGAACTTAAATAGGACTTTATTATTCTAATAAAATTTTACACGACTTAATGGTCCTCTCAACTAGTAGGACTAAGGTGTAATTATTATTTTTTTTTAATAAATTACCATGAATTTCGGTTTGCTCAATTAATAAATGAAACAAATGTTTGTGGTTGGTTTGATTCCAAGTAAAAGTAAAGTATATATAGTTTTGTTTTAAGAATCTCGTCTCAGTTAATAAATAAATACAAATTGCTAGTCAAGTCAAAGCTGTTTATGAAGAGAAATATTTATTTTTCTAAATTGTCGGAATTCAAAACAGGTTTAGATTTCACAAGATTTAAAATGAAAATTATAGGACAGAGATAGTTCAATTTTATTATTAAACTTATACTACTGTTTGTAACCGGCCTAAATTGAATGTAACTCGTCTTTTTTTACTTATTTTTATTTTATTTTTTTTCTTTTCTAAATAAATCCAACATTTATTTAGGCCTTATTTGACAACTGTTTCTGTTTTACAATGTTCGGATTTCATATAAAACCAAAGCTTTAAAAAAAAAAAAAAAAAACTTATTTTAGTAAACTAAAATTTGCTGCACAAAGTTTCAAAGATGCTTGAGTGATGTATAAAAAATATTGCATTTACATTGTATTGGCTTTTTATTATTATTAAAAGAAATCTCTCAATTGCTTCCAATCTGTGCAAAATGAAATAAATGTTGCCAAGTAGTGTTTCTATTTTTTACCGATTTAGTAACAAAAACAGTTGCCCACCCTTTATCCCTTCATTTTTCCTTTTCCAACATTGATTTCCAAAAGGTTTTGATTCCAAACAACTTTGGGTGAAAAACATGTTTCTTGTATTGATGATTATAATTACTCTGTAAGCTTCTAGTTACCTGATTGTGCCTGTTAGTTTGGATGTAATATATTTTTCAAAAAATATATTTATTTTTATTTTTTGTTGTTTAGTTGACGTAAAAAATGTATGAAAAAAAATATATATATATATATATATATATATATATATATATATATTAAAACCTAACAAAAATAACTCACACATCAATTTTTGACAAATTATTTTACATGTCCCACCTAGGAATGACAAAATATCTTGCCCACCCAAGTACCCCACCTTGCTCCATGTAAAACGGTCATGAGAGTGGTTAAATGGTTTTGGGGGGTTAGGATTTATAATGACAAATTATAATTTTGTTCTTATACTTTATTTTATATTTAATAATATTAAGTGGAGTATATAATAAGCAAATTCTAATTTTTTTCTATTTCAATCAATAATATTCTTTTGTATTATTTTTATTTGAAAACTTCTATGTATTATTTTGATTTTCCAACAATAATTTTAATTTTAAGTTTCAATTAAAAAGTTGACTCTTATCTTTGTCACATAAGATAAAAAAATAAAAAAATAAAAAATTTACTGTAGTTGAAGATTTATTTTATTATTTACTTTCGTTAGATTCATATTACAATTACGAAAATACTATACAAAATCCGTCCCCACCCCTCCTCACCCGTCCGCCCCATTTAATAAATTGTTTTGGGGTGGGAATGGGGTAACTATTATAAACATGGAAATGGCGTTCCCCTCCCCAAACTGCCCCATTGCAATCTGATGGTGATTGCGTTTCCCCCTCCCCAAACTGCCCCATTGCAATCCGATGGTGATTGCGTTTCCCCCTCCCCAAACTGCCCCATTGCAATCCGATGGTGATGGCATTTCCCTCCCCAAACTGCCCCACTGCAATCCTTAATCCCGCCCGATGAATTTGATCTCAACCTAAACTTTTATCAAATTAAAAAATATATATTTTACTTAAAAAGAAAAAAAAAATTCGAGAAAAAATATTTTACTGCAAAACAAACAGAAGTGTCTTTGTATGCATGGTAGGCCTCTTTTAAGTTTTAAACCTCCCCAGGACTTGTGCCAAGGTAGAAGAAAGTGTGGCCTTCCAAACAGGTTTGAGTAAAATATTGTGTGTAGAGATTCCGGGGAAAACTTCATAACGGTTGTATTGTCTATAAAACATTAGGTAGATAGATAGGTAGGTAGGTATTAGTTGTCTACAACATAACACACAGCCAACAAGAACAAGAGACTTCAGTAGTGATAAATTACCCGCAGGTGATAAATTTAAAGGACGTAGTTAGGCTTAATAAACATCACAACAACAATTATTACAACTTTAACAAGAGAGAGAGAAGCAGAATTCGAAGTGTAAACCAGTTTTGATATCAAACTGCCTAATCTATCATCTATTTTACAGACACCAAAGGACCAAAAGAGATCCTTCTCTCTGGTAATCCTTCCATCCACAATGCACATTACATATAATTCTTTACAGAGAGTCCACCTTTTAACACCTTTTTTCCAACCTCATCTGCAAATAATAGTATTGTCATCCCATGCCATCATAGTTTTGACAGGTTTTTAAGTATTAACAGAAATGTGAATTACCTTTGCAGAGAGAAAGGTGCTCCTCATGCATGTCTTGACACATCATCATGCAATTGCGCAGATCTCACATTGGGTTCTTCCTGCCATAAGGGAGAAAAACCATTTTATGAGTACCCTATAAGTAAATTGTGTGCATGTGCACGCGCGGACATGTCCATGAAACCTATTTATTCCAATACCAAAAAAATGGTAAACTGACCCGAATCCCGTACGGGAAGCCTGGTGTTCGGAAGAAGTCCATCTGTCCCTGCAAGCATCAAACACCAAACTGTAAATAAATGACAATTTTAGTATACACTAAATGTAAAGGTCAATTGTAGGATAACATACCAGTCCATGCATACTTGGCTGAGCGCCATAATAGCCATCATGGCCTGGTGCTATAGTGTTTAATTGTCCCTTACAGATACAAGAACCAAATTTTAATAATCAAAATCATATTACATATTATATAACCATCTTCCTATTTCTCAAAATCACAAACATAATATGATGTACCAGCCCCTGGATGGTCTGTGGATTTCCGTAGTAGTTATCACGTGTAGGTCCCATTAAGTTCAATTGTACCTGAAAAAACATAGCTTGTCTTTAAATTGATAAATATATCATCATTATGTGGTGAGAGACATGATCATATAATGTCACATCATACCATTCCTTGCACACTCTGTTGGGGGCCAAAATAGCCATCAAGGGTGACAGGCCTTGAACTTAATTTATCCTACAAAAGTAAAATTCCATTTATAATGCAAGTTCAAACCATTGAAAAGCTCATTTGATATTTTAGTGCCATGAATACAGTATTTCATTGCACTTATCTGTTCTCCCTCAAGTATAACAAGAAACATCATCAACATATATATATTTATGTGTGTGTGTCATTTAATAAATTAGATTTATATCAAATGAATGAAATTTTAAATATGATACTATCTTTTTTCTTTTTTAGTAAGAGATATGATACTATCTAATGCACACGATCTATATGTAACTGAAAATATATTGAGTTGACAAACTAAATTTCAGATAAGACAAACCATTTGTTGCAAGTTTTCTTGAGTCCCCATGGTCATAACATCCGGCTCCGTGTTTACCTGCAATATGAAAGATGCCTTCTTTAAAGAAAAATGACTATGACATAACAAGAATGTGAGCACACTAATCACTATTCATTACTAACCTTTCTTTTCTTGGTTGGATTCTTCTTTTTATTTGTCTTGCTCATTCCTCTACTTTGGTTATCATCCTCAATGGAGAGAAGACCAGGAGCAGTTGTTGTGCCAGCTTCTACAAGATTCTTACTATTGTTATTAATACTAACACAACTCCCAAAAGCATCTTCTAGTGCATGGGATGCAAAATTGTAACTTTCTTGAGATAATGACCCTTCTTCACCCAATTTCATCGCTCGTTGACATAAATCATTGTATCGTTGCAACCTAGATTTTACCTGTTCAGATCCTTCTCCCATCAAATGTCTGCTCTTGGCATCATCTTTCATCCACCGTTTCAAGATATATTGAGATGGGATAGTGGAAAGGCCACATATTTGGAGAACAATCATTGCATGTCTACAGATAAAACCTTTGAATTCAAACATATGGCATATACAAGATATTTCTGACTTCAATTCATTCCAAGTAACAGTGAACTCTTGTTTCTTTTCAAATTCTTGAACTCTAAAAGTTACGGTTGTCTCATCTTCTCTCTCTCGTCGAGGAACACAAGCAACTGCACCTAAAACCTCAACTTGGAATTTCTTAAATACTGCATGTGTGTACATCCCTGACATATGTTTCTCAAAAGGTGATGGAGACTTGAGGGCAGGATGCCTGTTCCATGTATCAGAATCTGCCTTGGCTTCCTCTTCATACCTGTCCTGCAGTATTGCCTCATACTGTTTTACAAACTCTTGCACAGTTGTCTTCTTATGCACGTATTTGTCAAAAAAAGAGTTCATACTCTCAGATCGCTGAACTGTAGACATTCCAGCTAAAAAAGCATCCCTCATGTAGGTTGGTACCCATTGTATACGATCTTCATACAATGATTGAATCCATTCATTCTCTTTAAGTTCAAACCTGTCAACCAATTTTCGCCACCTTTTCTCAAACTCCTGATCGGTCCACGACCAGTGAATGCATTTCTCTAGTTTTGCCATGAAATTTTCATGTTGTTTAATTACAGGACTAAGAATTTCAGAAGCCTTCCCAAGGACATGCCACAAGAAATAGAAATGATGAGAAGATGGAAAGACCTCTGAAATAACAGATTTCATCGCTTTGTCTTGGTCTGTGATTATTACTTTTGGAGCTTGTCCACCCATTGCTTTAAGCCATGTCTGCATTACCCAAGAAAATGTAGCTGTACTTTCGTCAGACACCAAAGCACATCCAAGCAGCATGAATTGATAATGTTGATTCACCCCAATAAAAAGAGCAAGAGGCATTCTATACTTGTTTCTAACATAAGTAGTATCAAAAGACACAACATCATTGAAATTGACGTAATCATGTCTGCTTTTGGCATCGACCCAGAATAAATTCTTCAGGTGTTGATCTTCACTTAAATCAATTGCATAAAAAAAGTTGGAATTCACACTCTGCATCTGCATAAAAAACTCAAGTAAAATCTTTGCCTCTCCCACTTCGAGACCCAAATTCCGACCTTTATCAAATGGATTTTTGGAGTCATTCTTGAGTCCAACCACACTTTTGTACTCCGCAAATTGTCTTGCCATTGCAGCGTACATCTTTCTTGTTTGTTCACTAACAGCTTGAGCAGGTAAAAGTTCATGATTATGCTCCTTCTCAAATCTATGTATAATCCATTTTCCATCAGGTCTTCTCTTCACATGCATGCATGCTTTGCAGTCTGTCTTTGCACATGATCGTCGACCAGTTGCATTCTCCCCTTCTAACTTGTGTCCTTGTCTGCTACGCGGTCGATTGTAGGACTTTTCATACTCACGCTTAGTGCCATATCTAGAACAAGCAAATTTTGCATCGATGAATTCTCTTGATGTCTTTGAACGACGGCTGTTCTGTATTGCAGTATTAAATCCCATAGACCTAGCATATTCTTGATAGAAAGAATATGCTTCCCCATGTGATTCAAATTCCATACCAGAAAGCGGCTCAAGATTTATATCCTCTTTAAACTCTATCATATCTGCTGCAGGTGAATTCATGTCCCCTACATCTTCAGTGTGTACCTCATCTCCAACATCCACCATAATTCCTCTCTCTCCATCTCCATTATGCAGTTTGTCCTCAGCATCTAACAAATTATCAATTCCATTTGGTTCTTCATCTTCCTTATCATGTTCTCCGGAAGGTAATCTAAGATCTATATCCATGGCAAGAATCTAATGCACTTTCAGTAGATTCTTTTCCTTGAGTACCTGAAAAGTAGAAAGGAAACTGGAGCAAAAATAAAGCATTCAAAAAGACAACCCACAACTATGTTTAGATAAAATTATAAATTCCATTTGATCTACTTCCAGAAACTTTAAAATACCAGTCAAAATTATGATATATTCTATAATGCCTACCTCCCCCACAAGCATGAATGGTAAATAAAGAAAGATAGAAAAAATAGGAATATATTTCAAAATTACTACATATTTCCATAACTACTTTCTTATAATGTTGCTCTCTTTTGTGTTTACAGTTACTTCAAAATTGGTAAAGTACCCAAATTTGAATACACTATCTTACATAACCCTCCTAAGAGGAAGAAAAGAAAAAAGAAACGAAAAGACATGAACACTTTAGATTGCTTAGATTTGACAATTAGATTAACATGACATCTAGACACATTTACCCAGCAAGTATATAAGAGCCTGTGTAACACAGTATCCCATTTTCCCATGAGCTAAAAAGTACATGAAAATCCAAGTGATCCAATTCTCCATATATCATGCTTAGGGAGACTGAATATTTCCATTTACCTAGTCCACTCTCCTCACAAGCATTTTACACGCATAACTGTAATTATACCAGTTTGACCATTGTGCATATAATGCCAAAAGTTAGGTATGCATCCATCTACATTTCAACACCCTCAACTAATGAGAACCACACTGGGTAATAACCCTAACTATACCACGCCATGAATTTCCATCTGTCATCTATAGTGGCCAATCAAAACCTAATAGGCTCACAGCCCAACCATCTTTAAACAGCCATTATCCAACTTATAACATCTAATTACGTGAAGATTCCTTTTTTGAAGAAAATCTAAAAATTCACTCAATAACAAATGTCCAAAGACCTCTAACATTTCAAGAAATTTTCAATGTTCAGAACATTAACCAGACATCCTGCTGCCTCATTGCTGGCAGATTACTCTTATCTCCTGATTCTCTTTAACCTCCAAGCTACTTTTATAATTAACACTAAAATAACTTTTACAGTAAATTGAATTTAAAACTCTTCCAGAAGAACACTATTTTTATAGTTAACAACAAAATAGCTTTTTCTGTAAATCAAATTATATATAAGGATATTACTGCTAAGAGGGGTCGACGGGAGACAGACCTAACATTTAACATCATTTGAATTCTGACATCATTTCCATTAATAAAATCAAAGTGTTCAAAAAATAAATATTTGCTAAAAAAATGGAGAGATAAAAAGGGGAGGAAGGAAAAAAGATACATCTCATCTTAATCTTCACACAAGAGTTGACATCCCAACTATACATTGAGTTATATCGCATCATAGTGGCCTATAACCCCGCTTCACCTCCATTTGCAAGCTTCCTCGCTATACCATATACAATTCACAAAGGAATTATATACGCATGTTCTTTTCTACGATAAGTAACACACACAAACTCATGTCCCAACCAGGATATGAACCCTGTCATTCCCCCTTTAGTGAGGAAAAGATAAACTGCTCAAGTGGAAAAAAGAAAACCCTACTTTAGAGCACTTGAAGTGGATGTATATGGGGCCCGAAGAGGAGGGAGTGGAGAGTGTGGGAAACGGCTATAAGAATAAGGTCTATCTCCAATCAACAAGTTCTCCATGGCATGCACTGTAACTCGTGTACCACTCCTCTCACCTCACAACATCAAGTTAAAGGGTCACCCTTCTCACATGGTCCAAGGTTCAGATAGACTGATGCCTAGCTTGCAAGACTAATTAGCTTATACAATATTTTTTTTCCCCATTAATACCAAGATTAACCGCCCACTCTTCCAAGGTAAGGGTCCAACATTTCGTTCCACCATTTCATTTTGATCATTGTTCCAAGATGTGTGGCCTTTTCTAGTAGTGTCTCCAACTTTAATGAACTTTTTTGATGTTCTTAATACTGTCAAGCCCAGCCAGACAATACTTATACCATATGCAAACCAAGCCAAGCTTGACTAATACCCGTCTCAAACTACAAAAAAACAATGCCCAAGGTCACCACAAGCCAATTTTGCTTTAGACAAGCTTGTTTAGTAATTGGCCTGAATGTTATGCTCTATCTCATCTGCTAAAAGCTGATGAAGAAGCTCAAATGAGCTGCACACATGCAAAGCTCCAAATTTTTTTTGAAGCAACTCGATCCATACCATCAGTTAATATCACTGAGTTGTTGATAGTGTGTTGGAAGCTTCAAGTTGTAAAGAACATTTTAAAAGAAACAAAAATTAAACTGCTAATGCAAATGCTTTTATTTAAATTATATTTGCTTATTCTCTTCTTCTCTATCATCATCATACAGAGAAGACATTGACCATTATAATTATTCATGCAACTGGTTACAGACCTTCCCATTATAAAATGCACACCCATCTCAGAAACCAAAAAGCAAACCAAGATTCATAGTACAGAACTACAAAAAAATAAAATAAACAATTTATAATCAGACTTCTGAGTTATGAGTAATCCAAATCTGTTACTCGGAAACAGCAAATTTAAAAACTTTACGATTCGGTTCAGCCCCTGATCACTTATCATTTCAAATTCTCTCTTTTGTTCTAGCCAATCTTGAAGCTCTAAAAAAAATACAGAACTGAAGATAAGAAGATCCAAAAGATATCAACCCATATCAGATAACATTCTGATATAAAGTATACATAATGATAACGATATGGTGGTTCAGTGAAATTGAATGAACGCATAAGATGTGCAGAAGTAGAGAGAGTTGTTTAAAAACATTAGGGAATATACGCGTATATGTAGAGAGAGAGGGAGAGAGAGAGAGAGGGGTGAGGGAAGAGTTTTAGAGAGAGAGAGAGAGAAAGAGGTACCTCTAATTCGTTGAGCAACGCTCTCTATCTGTTCTCGATCTGCCGCTGCAAATCCACGCGAGGGGGTTCGGCGAGTGGACTGCGTTTCCCCAATTTCGGTGGATTAGGGTTTGGAGAGACTCCCACCTTCACTCGCCTTTCCTCTCACTCGCTCTTGATGGTCGCGCGTGAAACCCTCTGTCTTGGGGAGCGTTTTATGAGGCCAGCAAACGTGAAAGCGCGTGCCATAAGCCTTGCCTTTTATCCACCGCTCCACAAAACCATTGTTACATAATTTCAATACTTTAAATTTTGGACTACTTTTTTTTTTTTTTTTTTTTTTTTCTGTATTTTTTTTTTACGTTTTTTTTTTGGGCAAATAAGTTTAAATTGCACTTATCACCCACCAAGTTTCTATAATTCTAAATCTTTTTTTTTCTTAAAATTACACTGTCTTCCCTCAAGTTACACAATCCTTCTTAACTGGTATCGTTCTCACGCTCCGAGCGCGCCCGCTCCACGCTCCGTGTACACTTTGACTCAAATTCTCACTATTTATGACTTAATTTTGCCGCTCTCATATTCCTGCTCTCGAATTCGTTCTCGTTTCCTTTACCGTTTTATGTGACTTAGGCCTTTCCTGAATTTAATTATCATTTTAACTTTTGCCTTACATTATTATATTATTTTAGTTAACAAATGGAGTTAAAAGTGCAAAGACATGAGTAATTATATTTTTGCACTTTATTTTGTTCATGTAAACAATGTTTCTAATGATTTTGTTGACCGAAAGGAAGAATTTTGATGCAAAACTTTAAGGGATGTTAGTTTAATTTTTTAATGAATATATGAGACTCATAATGCAAAATAGAAGAAGAAAAAAATATGCGACTCTATAATTATAATATACATCATAAAAGTTGAATGCATTAACTAACACTGATTTTATGTGTGGTATAAGTTGTAAGATATTTATTTTTCTACTAGTGTCATCAAACATTAAATTTACTTATATTAGTGAATTAAAATTTTAAAAAAATAATTTTATCTTTGAGAGACTGTCTTGTTAATAAAAATATATATTTCAAGTTGATAAAAAAATAGTAAGATACTCAAACAAGACAATTATTAAACAAACTATTTTATAGGAAGTAAAATGTTGGACTTTTAAAAAGATTTGTGTGGCAAAAATGCAAATGCTAAGATAGTTTGAGTCTTTATAAAAATGCCCTCTAAAAATTTAAGAAATTTTAAAAAGAAATCCAATAATATTTTAAAATAAACTATTATTAACTCTAAATTCAAAAGAACCCCTCTATACTTAATTTTTGCATTTAATTGTTTTGGTTAAAAAAAATAATTGTGGAGATTTATTTCACCCCTCCACATGTGTATTCGTCTTTGGCCAAATAATGTTCAAACAACAAAATTCAATTATTAAGGTTGTCTCACTGGAATAAATTTCTGGCATGCATAAGATTTGTTTACCGGACTATATTGTGAGATGAAATTGTTAGAAATAATTTTTAAAAATTAAATATTATAAGTGAGATGATAGAAGAGAATATAAAAATAAAATTTATGTGATCAAATTTGAAATTAAGACATAATAATAATTATAATATTAATAATAATGACGATGATGACCCGAAATTACACCGATTACTGTTGGAATAAAAAAATCGCTTTTAGCTGTTAAAAAATTGTTGTTAGTAAAAATCATGATAGGTGTTTAGTGACACATTATAATAAGTACTTTTCAGAATTAAATTATTTTAAAAATAATTTAGTAATAATTTTTTTAAACACTTTTATTGCTAATTTTACAATTGTTTCCTTTAATAGAATGTTACCATATTTGATAATAACAACTTTATTAAGGAATGAGTGAAATTATTTTTATAAAAAATAAAATAAAAAAATTATCTAGTGAAAAATAGTTACTTAAAATGTTCAATCTCTACTAAGCAATTTAAAAAAATTTAAATTCTAATTTTAATCAAAATCTCTCCTGAGCTAAATTTGATAACCAATAAAAACATTTTCTTTTTTTTTTATAATTACCAAACAGAACAAAATATAATTTTAAAAAAAAATACTTTAGTAATTTCAAACTAGCTCTAAATTGACTTAAACTATTGGATGACTTTTCTATAGTGGATTATTGAATGACTCAAAAATACTTTAGTAATTTCAAACCAGCTCTAAATTGACTTAATTTCATGCTATATATTCATTATTGGATGACTTTTCTATAGTGGATTATTGAATGACTCTCTTTATCGTTGGTGTGTACTTTTGGATTTGTCTTTATTTAGATGATGAATATGATGGAACCAAAAACAAATTGAAAAACAGAAAAGATAGTAGCATAGGGTTAGAAGAAAAGGTGTGACCATGAGAGAATATTGGTCCCACGTATGCTCACCCAATTAATATTCCCACACACTTTTTCTACAGCAGGGTACACACACTATCATACCACACTCGCACATCGTCAACTCTCAACCCTTCTCCGTCTTTCGTCAGTTTCTGTTTTGTTCGATCGTCAAACGCCTGCACTTTCATTCCCCCATTCTGTTCCCTTTTACCTCCTCCCCTTCCACTACTTCACAAAGATTTCTACTTTCTTTTTTTTTTTTGTTTCTTTTTTGAATTTTTTCCAATTATGATTTTTGAAAGAATTTGGTAGGACTAGTTTGTGTGTGTGTGTGTGTGTTTTTTTTTTTTTTTCCTAGTGACATTAAAGACTGCACAGTACAGCTGTGCTTTTTATTTTTTTAGTAATTAAAAAAATTGAAGTTATTTTGGGATTAGGAATTGGTTAGGGTTTTGGTTCATTTGGGTGGCATTGTTGGCCTGGATTGAGTTGACTAGAGCTTCAATTTCTTGTTTTTCCAGTGCCAAGAAAAATAGTTAGGGAGTTATGGTGAGGAAACATGGATGGCAACTACCAGCACACACATTCCAGGTTTGGATGATCTTCTTTCTGTTTCAGTTCATTCCTGTATCTCTTGATCTGGGTTTGCTCAAATTAGTAATTTCCTGACATGGGTATTTATTGGAAAATGCTAAAATGGGGACGAGGGGTACTTGGGTTGTGGGTGTGTTTCCACTTGTTGGGTGAATAGGGTTCTCAATTCACTTCCTTTTGATTATTTGCTGGTTGGATTCTTCAAATAATATGATTTTCATTTTTAATTAGCTTTGATCGAAGATTTGGTCTCTGGGTTTCTTATTTTAGTTTTTATAGTGCCTAATTTATATGCTGTCAACTATTGAAGATTTGTTTTTTATTGAATTGGTTCTGAGGATTTTTCATCTGTGAATATGTTCTGAAACTGTGGGTGGAGTTGGTACTGAACACAGTGCTAATTTTTCTTTCTCCCAGCTACTACATTGGTGTTTTCTGTTACAATGATTATTCAGACCTATTCAATTTATTTGCTTCTGGTTTCTTTACGTTATTTAGTAGTATATTTTGACTTGAAAATTATAAACTTAAAAGAGTTAGTCAAGACAGTGTGTTTATGTGACGGAATATGAAAATATGAACAAGTAGAAGGATAAATTTGGTAAACACTGACTTGAATGATAATCAATATAAATATTCCTACCAGAAACTTACTTAGAACAACACAAATTTGCATCGGATGGTAATGATAGCAAGGTTGGTGAGTGGACCATACTATTGAGCTCAATTTTGGGTCTGATGGTAATGATTCAAATTCAACCTCTAATTTAGAACAAAACAAATTCATCACTGCTCTAAAATTACATTCAGATTCTAATAAGAATTTGGTTATTTTTCTTTCAGCTGTTTTATAAAATAATGATAATGTGATGGTTTGTCTATTTGACTTCTAGTAACGTTTACAAAGTTCAATTAGTAAAGAATGAGCATGTTGTGGCTATTCTGCTAGTGGAGAATGAGATAGCAGATCACTTCCTGACCTCAAATGAAGGAATTCTACCTCCATAATTAATTCCCCACTCCTTTTTCCTCTCTTCCCCTTTTGCCCCGAAAAAAAGAAGGTAAAACTAAAACTTATAATGAAAGTGCTGTTTTGTGATAAACTATTGTACTGATAAATAGAAATTGTTCATCTCTCCACATATCATTACTTTTGATCTAAATTAATTTCTATGCAGTCACTATAATCAACTCAAGGTTGTCTTGATTCTTGACATCACTTGATTCTGGTTGTTGATCATTCATTGATTTCAAGTTCATGGTTTCACTGTTAAGTGATTTTTTTTTTGGTTTTTTGGTGTGTTTTAAATGACATGCTAATGACAACTATGAGATGGTATTTTAATGAGATAATTTTTGTTTGATGAAGAAGGTTATATTATGGATTTTGTGTTCAAATGAGTATCTATGCTCTTATATTTAGCTAAATGTTTCTCTAAACTTTTGGTTTTTTTACCTTTTGTAGGTTGTTGCAATTACTGTATTTTGCTTGTTGGTTGTTGCGTTCTATGCTTTCTTTGCCCCTTTCCTTGGAGGCCGCATATGGGAGTATGTTTTGGTTGCTGTTTATTCTCCAGTGGTATGTATTCATTTGATTTAGATAATGCCCTTGCACATTTTAATGAAAATGCTGCATTTATTTTTATTGAAATTTTCAGGAGTGATTGATTGATGGGAAAGAATATTTGGAAAGTGTTTTCAAAGAAGTAACACTAGTAGTTGTGTTTATAGCACTTGAAAATCAGGACCTCTAGGAAATATGTTTTGTAGTTCTTTATGTTACTTTGAAAAGAAAAGAAGAAAAAATTTGTGAATCATTATGTATGAACCATGAAAGAGTTTGATGACTAAATTATCATTTATCTTGGGCATTATATTGGTATAATTAATTGACAACCACTGCAATCATAATAATACATGCATCATAGTGTCCTCATGATCTATCTTCTACTTGAGTACATACCCTTTATACTTGATGGTGTTCATCTCCTTCTGATATTGCAGGCACTCCTTGTTTTCATTCTGTATGTGCGGTGCACTGCAATTAACCCTGCGGATCCCGGCATTATGTCTAAATTCGATTCTGAGAGAATGAATAATCCCAATACAAAGTTTGGGTTGTCGTCCAAGGGCCTGCCAGTAAAAATGGATGAACTTGGCGCTGGGGCACATTCTTCTCCATCATCAGCTTCAAGAAGTTCCATTGCTGCAGCTAATTCCAGTAAGAAAGGTTCAAATGGAGAACTTGGGAGTATCAATACTAGGGTGAAACCCACTACCAGGTCATCATGTTGCAATGTAGGAGGAATCATTTGTGCATTATTTGTACATGAAGATTGCCGCAAACAGGATAGCGCAGCTGAGCAGCAAGGCACAGGAGAAGATGCTTTGTTTTGCACGTTATGCAATGCTGAGGTACTTTTTCATTGCAAGTATGTTGCTACCATACATCAAATCAAATATCTATCAGTTTCTTTGAGTACATCTGCCCATTAGATTTCTACAGTTATGTGCCACAACAGCTCCACATACTTGCATTAATCTGCTCATCTATGCATAAAACTTCTAATAATTCTCCTTTATATTAGGAGCTTAAATTATATTTAGTAAAACCTTTAGGCCCTCTAACCAAGACTTCTTTTTACTCTAATAATGCCACCTAGCCACTAAAATATTCACCACTTCATTGCCATATTGGATTCCACACCCGCCAACACCAAAATTCATGATTCATCTACTGCCCCACTCTCCCACATGCTCCACCTCATATCCTTGCCTCTACCACTGCATGGTGAATCCACACCACTATCAATTCAGGGGTGAATCCACACCAATGTAACTACTAGATTGCCATTCATTCCCCTTTTGCATTACGTATGCCTTCTTTTCCCCCTTTTGCTCATAAGGATCAGATAATTTCACAAGCAGAAGAGATTTTACAGCCTGTACTTCTCTCTTTGTTTTATGCCTTTTTGCTTCATATTTTGAGAAGGAAACTGAAAACATAAATGAGAGAGAGAGAGAGAGAGAGTTTTTTAAAGGCTTGCACCTGTTCTCCTTGTATATTAATGTGGTCAGTGTCCTACCATTATTGTGCCACATACTTGTGAAAGCTCAGGTAGCTAAAGAATATAGGTTTATATATCCTTTTTTTTTTTTAATTTATTATTAATTCTTCCAATGCTTCAGGTGAGGAAGTTCAGCAAACACTGCAGAAGTTGTGATAAATGTGTGGATGGATTTGATCACCATTGTCGGGTATATTTTGAACTGTTCCGGGTGCTCTCTGTAGTACATGTCATATTATCTTTCTACTTGAGGACGAACTTATTTATAACATTATCCAGGAAATTAACCGTATTACATTTCATTGTTGCAGTGGCTCAACAATTGTGTAGGAAGAAAAAATTATGTGACTTTTATTTCTCTTATGGCCATTAGTCTCGTTTGGGTATGTTTGAAGCTTACTGATTATAGTTCTATAAACAAAAATTTTGAACTGCTAATGATCTCTCTCTCTCTCTCTGTCAGCTTGTTATTGAAGCTGGAGTTGGCATTGCTGTTTTAGTGTGTTGCTTTGTAAATAAGAAAAGCATGGAGACAGAAATAATTGACAGACTAGGAAATGGTTTCTCTCGTGCCCCATTCGCAACTGTTGTGGTATATTTTATTTTAATTCATATATGCTTTAAATCAAAGCTAAAATTTGATAGTTATTATATGAATACTTCTAAATCTTTATGCCAATGTTCAATATCTTTATGTGCAGGCTGTATGTACGGCAGTTTCGTTGCTGGCTTGTGTACCCCTGGGTGAACTTTTCTTTTTCCATATGATACTTATTAGAAAGGTCAGCAGCCAGAGATATTTTGGTTATATTTTTGCTTTCCGCAGATAGAAAATATTGTGAAGGGTAGACACTACATGGTGGACGTGAATTTGTGGATAGAAATAATGCTGGGATGTTATCTTTGACTTCCAGTGACATCAATTTATGGTAGGGAGTATCTTTTCTATAAAGAGAGATGAACAATTAATAACCTTTAAAAATGAATCAAATATGACATGAACCAACTTTGATCAAATTAGAAAGGTAGACCAATTAACATGCAATGTAAGGTTATTCCAAGTGAGAGCTTAACATCGCAATATAAGCTAGTAGTTTTATACATAGAAGGACAATCAAAAAGAGAAAGAAAGTAAAAACATTAGAACTAGGAGTTCAAGCCAAAGGTCAAAAAGAAGTTAAAAAGGTAGTAAGGGAAGCCAAATACAGAGCATATGATAATCTATATTCTAAATTAGGTACAAAAGATAGGGAGAAAAATATATGAAACTTGCTAAACTTAGGGAGAGGAAAATTAAAGATTTTAATCATATTAAATGCACGAAGAGTGAAAATCAAGAGTTTTAGTAAAAAGATACAAAACTAAAGAAAGATGGAAAAGTTTCTTTGAGGAATTGTTAATTGACAATCATTTAAAAGAAATTAGGTTTGGAATAATATAGTAACTTTAGGGAGAATGGAGAGAAGCATACTGTTCTCATAGAGATATAAAATGCATTTAGGAGGACGAAATCACGTAGGGCTTTAGGACTTGATGACATGCCTATTGATGTTTAGAAGTGTTTAGGAGATGATGGCCTGTCTTGACAATCAAAATTGTTTCATAAGATTATAACTAAGAGAATGCTTGATGAGTATTGTAACAGTATTTAGTACCTATAAGAGGAATATGCAAAGTTGTACTAATAATTGTGGAATTAAATTAATGAGTTATTCTATAAAACTTTGGGAGAGTGATTGATCAAAGATTAAAACAGAAATTGAAGTGTCAAGAAATCAATCTAGATTTATGCCGGGGAGTTCAACTATGGAATTTTTTTTTTTTTTACTATATTAAGGAAACTAATGTAAAGATATGGAAAGAGAAGGATCTCCACACACACACGCACACACACACACATATATCTTTTTTATTATAGATTTAGAGAGCCTATAATGGGGTCTTTCTAAAAATATACTATGGGGATTTTTAGAATAAAAATGAATCACAAAGAGATGCGTCGACATGAGGCATATAATGGGGTGTCTGGAAATATAATATGGGGAGTTTAAAATAGAAATGAATCACAAAGAGATAAATTGACATGATAAGGGACATGTGCGATGGATCTGTGACCGAATTTAGAACTACTGTGGAAGGAACAAGTGAATTTTCAATTATTGTAGCTTACATCAAGTATTAGCATTATGGTCCTATCTTTATGCCTAGGTTAAAGAGAAATTGGAGTAGATGTTAATCATTGAATCAAGGCAGAGTTTGCTGATGCATTGAGAGTTATGTTAGGGGAAGGGGAAAACCAGAATTAGTTTGAGTAAAGTAAGGAAAGACATGATGCAATCTGGTTTGATTAAGGCTATGCCCTTGGATAGAGTGGAATGGGAAACATGATTTATGTACCCCACCCAAAGTAGTTGATACAAGGCTTAGTTGAGTTGAGTATAATGCTCCATTTGGTTGCCTAGTCATGGTGGACTTGGAATGAAATTGGGGAATCTTTGCAATTGTTTGCAGTTCGAATTTGCTGATTGTGAAGTTCCAACATTTTTGACTTGCAAATGGAGCATTGCAGAAAGATGAAACATGACCTGGAGAAAGTTAAAGAATATGAAAATGCAACCAGCTTAATGATTCTTTTTTCTTATTCTTTGCTTTGCTGGATTAGGGTATTACAACGTACGAGTATGTGGTGGCAATGAGGGCCATGAGTGAGGCACCGGCAGGAGTCTCTGTAGATGAGGAACTGCCAAACATATTATACTCTCCAACAGGATCTGCAACAACTGGGTTCAGTGGTGGAAGTTCTCTGGGCCTGCAGTACAAGGGGCCATGGTGCACCCCCCCTAGAGTGTTTGTTGATTACCAGGTATAACTTTAAAATGTACTTTATGTTTTTATCTATATATTACAATTCAAAAACAGATACAATCATTGTTAGTAGTGAACTGAACACTCTTTTTATCGCTCCTTGCTTTAGTTAACATAATCCTCTGTGATGGGACCTTTGACCTTGGTTTCACATGCAGCCAAAGGTTTCAAAGCTAGTGCTGAGCAAATTGTAATATAGCTGATTCATGGGTTGTATGGTTTCAAAGCTAGAGAACTGAGCAAATTATTAATAATTTTTTTCCCTGCCAATACGAATAATACAATTGACTTTAATCCAAGTCTGATTATGCTAAAAAAGTTAATTTTTGCTTGTTTTCTGTTAAGCTGGATTAGTTCAAAAAACAAAGGAATTCAAACCAAAGGTCAAACATATAGACCTGATCATCTAAGCCTTGAAATAGTTAAATCAATGAGACTTACTCATATTATAAATGCAGTTACAAATCTTTTCCAGCATTTTTCTGTATCTAGGTTTAATTTATAAAAACTCCCACCAGTATTATTTTTTACTTACTATCTGCACTCTGCAGCCTTATTATCATAATAGATTTATGACATTCATTTGTTAATAGGACCGAGATTTCACAAACTTTTCCATTTTTTTCCAAATAATATCAGTACCGCTCTAATGCTTATTTTTCTAACATGCCATGTTTTCATTAATTTTTTTCCTGTATTGTTTTCTATTTTTATTTCTTCATTCTGAAATTCATGCCTCATTTGTTGCTACAACTCACCCCCCCAGGCGGCGTCATTGGTGCAAAAGCAACCTGCTTTTCCAATTGCTGCTAAGATTTCTATTTTCATGTTGACTTAATCTTGTACTATTTATTGTGGTGAAAAGGGAAAAAGATATTTATACTTGATCAAGGAGTAATTGGTAAACATATCTTGTTTTGAAACTGGCTATTTCAGGACGAAGTTATACCTCACTTGGAACCCGGAATGGTCCCATCAACGGTTGATCCAGATGCAGCCGGTTTTGCAGAAAGGGGGAACAAGGTACCTAAAAGGCCTGTTCGGATCAGCGCTTGGAAGCTTGCGAAGTTAGATTCAAATGAGGCAATGAGAGCTGCAGCAAAAGCCCGGGCATCCTCATCTGTATTACGGCCTGTTGATAACCGTCATGCAGATGGTGAATTGAGCTCCAGTGGTAACGTGAGCATCAGAAGCAGCGAGAGCACCGACATGGGAGGGAATAAAGACATGAAGAACGAACTGAGATTATCTCCTTTGAGAAACTCTTTTGCTCCAAGTCAAGGTAGCCGGGATGAATATGAAACCGGCACCCAAAGTGTGAGTAGCTTCAGCAGTCCAAGCCATGTTCACGACTCTGTCACACTAAGTCCTCTCCCACAAACTCATGGTTTCAGCCATTTTAATGCAGCTAGTTCAAAATCTGGCTTTGTCCCAGATCGGCCCCTAACTTCTAGGGCAGCTTTCCCTAACATCAACCACCCAATGTCCAATACTTCCTCAGAATTTGATGAAAAGGTCATGCAAAAACATGGCACTACCGATCCATTATTGCTCTCAGCACCAGCTCAAGCTCCGGCAACGTCTCTCCTTCGAGACGTGAAAAGGACACTTGTTGTTTGGGACCAAGACGCCGGAAGGTATGTGTCAGTCCCTGCATCATCTTCAGAAGCTCGAAACAGCAGACCGTCCCTGCAAATAGGAGTATCAAACCCTAATGCAGGAACAGGCAGTTATACTCAAAGGCCAGTTGTTCCACCTCGAGAACCTTTGTTACCTGCAGGTAAGCCTCCACTCCAGCAGTCGGAGAAGCTTACATACACTGGAGACTCTATTTTCTATGGTGGACCCCTTCTGAGTGCCCCAATTAGGAATGATTTGAGAAATGAGAGGGGCTCGGGTTCAAGAGAAGGCCAAGATAGGATGCCACTGAACTTGCCTCGAGAATCCAGGTTTAAAAGAGATGCAGCCTCAAACCAGCTTCCTGTGTTCATCCCTGGAGGTTTTGAGCAGAATCCTGCATCTGGGTCCCGTTCAAAGTAATTTGTGACCAAACTTCTAACAGAAAAAATGGCATTTTTTCTCTGATTGAAGTAGTGAATGACTGAAGCTCTAACAGAAAATAGTGTCATTCACATTTTTCTCTATTTATCAGGTTTTGATATGGAGGGGAATTGAAAAAAACCCCTAATGGAAGTTGCCTTCAAAATCCAGGAACCTTGCGATCTGAAACAGCTTTGGAACAACTAAATCGTGAGGTTCCAGTGTTTCTTCTCGAACCAAATTTTCTGAATTAACACGTTGGTGCTACTTGATGAACTTTGTGGGTGAGACTTGCTCTCTCTCTACATTGTAGCTAAAGGATTTTACCTGAACTCTTTTTTTGTATAATTGAGTTTCATTTGGTAGGTTTCAGAATATCAAAACCAGCTGCCTTGTAGCTAATTGTTCATTCTTTTCAAGTGTGATTTCTATGTCACGCATGGCCATGTTTAAGGACTCCTTGGTTGAAGTAGATTATTCTTCTTCTTTGCTTTATTTTTTTACTTTATTTTTTTCGGAAGTTAAAATAATGTGTAATGAATAGACATTGTGGTGGGGGGTTTTGGGTACATGTCTGTGCCTTGTACCAACGGTTGGTGTTTTCTTTGTTTTGTTTCATGCCTGTCTATTCAGTACTGAACTTTAAGTACACTCTGAGATTCTTCCCAGTGATTAATATACCTGGCTTCTGTTTGGTTAGGAAGAAAAGGGATAAAATGGAAAATGATCAAAACTACTTCTGAAAGGAATTCTGCTGTAAATGTTTCTCCTCGGTTCTTTTTGTAGTGCTTTTGTAAATATTTTCATCAATTTTACTTCGCTTCTTTTGTTACTTAGATTCAGATGAAGCATTAATTAATTTTATTGAAATGGGTAAATTCGTAATTTTAAATGGCACTGACGAATAATTGTTTCTGCCATAACATTTCTGGTTCAGATTGAGGGTGATGACCGATGAGAAAACAATAGTTTAATAGGTTGATTTAGAGTCTGCAGTCTGATTAGTTGCAAAAGAAAGCTTAAAATTAAGGGTGGAAGTTGCAGAAATTCTACAACTCAATGCTCTACACTTTGGATATTTTTTCCTTTTCATTGGCTACTTTTTCATTTTCATTTTTGAGTTAAGAAATTGGGTTACTTCTCTCACACGCACCCTCTATACAAGTTTGTGTGAAGAATGAGTTTCGAACCAATCTTGATAGTATTTGTGGAACCATTAATTCAATTATTTGATACAGTTTCTTAAAACTCTAATAACGAAAATTAACTTTTTTTTTTTTAAATCATTTTTTGTCAAGTCTTCTAAGTTGTTTTCAAAAAATTTGCTTTCAGACAATTGTCAACGAAAATAATTTTCAAAACATTTTATGTGAGATTGAAAAAAATTGGTCCAGCTATGATATGGGATGGAAAGAAGAGAGGAGAAAAGAAAAGAACAAAAGTGAAAAGGAGGAGGCAAACAAAGAAAAGAAAAGGAAGGGAGAAAAAGAAGGATAAAATTTACACTTTTTTTCATATCATCCTTCTCATTATGGGAGATATGATATTGGTATTCAGTTTCATACGCTTACTCTTCCATAATTCTTTTAAGAAATGAACTGAAAAAATCACACCTAAATACTGAACTAAAAAACATAGCATTTTGAGACAATTGTGGAGTGTGGGATTGCTTTTGTACAAGAAGGTGAAAACAATCCAAAAATAGATACCTACCAAACGTAAAAAATAAAATAAAATAAAAGAAGATAACTATTACTGCCACTTGATCCTATCCACAATATATATAAAAAATAAATTCTAAAAAAAAAAAAAAAAAAAATGAGGAACAATAATGGTGCTTAAACGACAAATTATACCCTTCTATTTAAGAATTTATACAAAAATGCTATTATCAATAATATTTATAATTTGAATCCCGTGGAGGCCATTCCCTTAATTTTCTCAACAGTAATTGCCCAATGCATATGGGACAAAAGGGACTACATGCATCCTTGATAAATTATGAAATACTCTAAAAGGCCGACACCATTACTGTCGACCAAATAAAAATAAATAAATTGCGGCATGGCTTTAATTTCCTCATACTGCGTAAAGGCACAAATTTGCAACGCAAGGATTGTCAAAGACCTTGTTACCAGGTCGTAAAAGCTTAACCGACTACAAGCCTCTAATCTCAGTGAATGAACATCATATAAAAGAAACTATATCATATTGTACACTAAGGGCCTGATTTCCTAAAATGCAGAACACGATAAGTGATTTTTAAAAATAAATTTGTTTGATAAAATTTTAAGATACCGATTAACATGGTAAGTACCGTTTAAAAAAGGCCAAAATTTTAAGCGTTGAGAAAGTTACTTATCGCTTATCGCAGAAGACGGTAAGTGGTTGTATTTAAAAAATAATTTTTTAAAGACTACTCTACCATCATATAATTGTGTTCTTTCTTTAAGATTTCTCTCTGCGATTTCTCTAAGGAAAATGAATTACATGTAACAAATTCTAAAAAAATTAAAAAGATAATTCTACGTAATATATTTTAAACACACATATAGCCTTTTGGTTACCATTTATATTGATTCACTATAAAAAATAATTATTTATATAACAAAATTCTTATTCAATTTCAAGTACTTTCTTTAATATTTTTAACACCATTTTTATACCCTACATAAATATTATGTAATTATTTATATAATAAAATTCTATTCTCAAAGATGAATTATCTTCTATGTACTTTCTTAACACTCTTTTCAATACCCTACCATGTAATCCAAAACTCATATATTTTTAATTTTACTTTCTTTAATCTTTTGTAACATTCTTTTTCATATCCAAAACCTATATATTTAAAATTTTCATTAATTATTTATATAATAGAATTATGTTCCTAGATAAGAATTCTTTTTCACTTTTCTTAATTTTTGTAACACATTTTTGAATACCCTATATAAATATTATGTAATTCAAAACACATATATTTTAAATTTTAAATTTTACCTTCTTTAATTTCTGTAACACCATACCTACAAAAATATTATGTAATCCAAAACCCATAGATTTAAAATTTTCATTAATTATTTATATAATATAATTTTATTCCTAAATAAGAATTCTTTTCAAGTATTTTCTTTAATCTTTGTAACACCCTTTTCAATACCTTACCTAAATATTATTCAATCTAAAACTCATATATTATGTAATACAAAATTCATATATTTTAAATTTTCATATTTATTTATTTCATTGAGATATTTATTTATTTCATTGAGTGGATGTGGTTGTTTTATTAATATTTTTATATTATAAATATAAAACTATTATGAATATCAAATATTGAGGACAAAAATACAACATGTACAACTTTCAGATTTCAGCTTTTGTATATAAGCACTTAAAATTAAAATGTGCTTAAAGTTTCAACGCTTAAGTATTTGAAATTTTCAGTCCTTAATTTTCAGTCTTATCAAACAACACCTGAGAAACAAACACTAAAACTGAAAGTGATTCTAATGTCAACAGCAGAACGATTTTATTTGGTGAAAAAAATAAAATAAAAAAAAACCACAATTTTATTTGATCTCTCTCTTTACATGAGCCATTGAAATTATCGCCATTATCACCCACTTTCCATTATCACCCACTTTCTTCGTCAACTGCTCCTCCTCCTGCTGAGAGACTAGGGACTAGAAGAGTTACTTCTGCTGAGACTTGAGTTCCTTCACTCTTTCTTCAGTAGCCTTTAATGCTTTCCCATATTTGCTTATTAACTGAAATTAAGAGTAATTTAATCTTTAATCAGCACCAGAGATCAAATTGTCATTCATTTTGGACAGACAGTTAAAAAGATCAACTTTCATGTTTTAAAATGAGGATGATGAAATAAGCTCCATTATGGGGAAAGAAAATTTTCCAGTAGCCTAGTTGAGTCGCATGTTTCAGAATAAGTGCCTTTGTGTCCGTTGTTTCGGCTCTTGCAAGCACTATTTAGCATGCAAAAGTCCTTGCATCTTAGTCTTCTTAAGAGAATACCAGGATATACCTCTGCCCCATTTAAGAATTCCCAGCAAAATGTGTTAAATTTTCATCAACAACATCAGCAACCAAAATTTTAACAACTTTAAAGCCATTCTTCTAAAAACCCTAAAAACTCTTTTCCTTCTTCACTAAAAATGGAGATATCTTCTATTTAACTCTGGACATAAACCTACCTCATCAACTTCGTCAAGGGTCATTATAAACGGAGGAGACATCATTATATTATCACCAGCAACACGAACCAACATTCCAAGCTTCTGGCACTCTGCTCCAAAATACGCACCTATCCCTGGTTTGCCCATCAAAGTTTGTTAAAATAGGAAACTATGTGACGATACAGATTAGCAGAAGTATAACTCTTTGCCTCAGCCATTTATACTGAAAATTATCAAAAAGGAAATAAAAATTAACTTACCCCATTCAGGAGGGAATGGATCATTTGGTGATTTTGAATCTGTAAACTCAGTCCCAAGAATCAAGCCAGTTCCCCGAATCTGATAAATCAGAATAGCTAAAACAGAGTAAATATCTAATAACCATATCTACGCTTATTTATTGAGTTTTACACAGCTGCTTGAGATAACCTCTCCAATGATGGGACTGTCGGAAAATGCTTTTATACCATCTTGAAACCTTGGGGAAATGCTCTTCACACGTTCAACAATATTTCGTTCCCTGCCAACAATTCAACTAATTATTATTATTATTATTTTTTTTCTCATCTCAATTGTTTTCTCATAGATAATTAGCAGGTACCAATGGGCCAGTGGTCTAGCGGTATCAACCTCTTACCTCCCAAAGGGAGGTCAGGGGTTCAAGTCTCAAAAGAGACGTGTGAGTACCAACAAGGAAAAAAAAAAAAAAAAAATTAGCAGGTTCACATAAATAAAAAAAGCTTTATATATTTTATAATTTTTAAGAAATACGAAGTGAGGAACATACTTGTAGATCTTGAGTGCTTCCAGAGCAACAGCACATGATACAGGGTGACCAGAGTAAGTAAATCCATGAGAGAAAGAACCTAACAAAAATGAATTTAGGAATAGCGCTAAATTAAATAAGCATAAGAAATAAAATAATTAACTCATATGAAGATTTATGATCATACCAAGTTTGTTGCTTTGAGAATATATAACATCCGAAATTTCAGGGCTCACAAGAACAGCTCCAATCGGCATATATCCAGAAGAAAGAGCCTGTGAAACTCAATTTGGAATCAGAGGGAAAATCAGAATCCAAACACAGGCAGGCATAGCCTGTAGCTGAATGTAGTTACTCTACCTTTGCAATGGTAACAAGGTCTGGTTTGATGTTGTACTTATCACAACCATATGTTGTTCCAAGCCTTCCAAATGCACAGATTACCTAGAACAAATGAAAATAAAGGCGGCAATACTAGGTCCAGCTATGAACCACACACAAAAAAGCTTACTGACTACAGTATTGAAAATATGAGAGAACCATTCCAGTACCTCATCTGCAACAAAAAGAATGTCATATTTTTTCACTACCACTTGAATCTGCATCGTTTTTGAAAAGAAATGCTAGTTAGGGTCATATATTTGAGAGGGAGAGAGAGATGACAAGGAACTCTGGAGCATTGCATTTAAAAATATAGCAAAAATCAATTATGTAATAGTTAAAACAACCAATACTAAAAGTTCTGACATTTTGGAATGAGTTCTGCCATGAAATTTCCATTCTAGTACCAAATATGTCTCATCAAAAGTGAGCTGAAATTTGAATATCAGATGCATATATGTAAGACACATAAATTCAACATATCTATTTCCATAGGCATACATATTTAGATATTACATAAAGTTGTTCATCAGCAAGAAGGGTTCTACGTCTGCATTTGGGATCATGAAGATGCATCTTAATTATTAAGTTATTAACGAGTTAAAAAAAGAAGTTGCCAAGCCTAATTGGGTATATATGCATTGCAACTGGTATTTTCTTGTCCACTTACAAAAATATAACAAATCATTATCAATTTCTCACAAATTCAATAATGTAAATGCCTATTTATTGAATACCTTATTCAGAAAATATATATATATATATATACACACACACATATTGGATACCTTTTGCCTACATAATGTATGTAGATGCATATGTTGGTCACCTAGCATGTGCTTTTGTGTGTGCAACAGGAGAAGCAGATCTCATCACTATGCAGCTTATAAACCAGTGACTGTGAATGTAGGGTATTTAAATTATTTCATAACACTAGCACCTTGATTTCCCATCCATAAAATTTAAAAAACAAGAATAAAAAATCTCACTTTGTCAAAATAAGTGGCAGGAGGAGGTATCACACCACCTGCTCCCATGACTGGTTCCGCAATGAATGCAGCAATCTGTGATGAGAATTCATACCGGGTCAGAAACTTTAACCAACCATTCAAGTTTTATAACACAAAAGTTCATAGCAGTAAGCTTGATTACCGTCTCAGGACCCTCTTTGAGGATAAGATTCTCCAAATTATTGGCTAACCTGGTAGAGAACTCCTCTTCCGTCTCACCTGATAAACACTACACCAATTGATATAAAAAGCATAAAGCATAAGAAGTAATATAAATATATAAAGGTTAAATGCAAACCAGGAAGATGATAGCGCCAGTAGTGAGGGCAGTCAGTATGCAATACAAATGGAGCTGGCAGATCAAATTTTTGATGTAGAGCTGGAAGGCTGTGAAAAAAAAATATTGCTTCTTAGTTCTTACTGGAATGAAGTGATTTCAAAGGTTTAGAACTAAAGATGTAATCATGTAAATATCGTTAATGTTCGTTGTAAATAAATATCCTACCCAGAAAGACTGGCTGCTATAAGAGTTGATCCATGGTATCTGTCAAATGCAGAAATAACATTACAATCTCTTAGGGGTTAAACCAAGGGGAAGAAAAGAAGGAAGAGAACACTGTCAGTTGAATTACGATTTTTCTCGAGCAATAAATTTCTTCTTATTTGGTCTTCCAAGTGCATTGTTGTAATACCAAACCAACTTCACCTACAAATGATTAAGATGAAAATTAAACTTTAACTTCATTTTCAGTTGGAAATTTAATTTCAAGTACCAACTAGCAAAACATAACATTGAATTCATAACCAAGTTGATTTTCAGGTCATTTTGGGGTTTGGGGGGGGGGGGGGGGGGGGAGGAGGGGTGTTGGTTTATCCCTATGTTGTTCACGTCTGGTATCAATTTGGTTGAAAGCATCTAATTTATTAATCTAAACAGAAGAACTAATACAGAACAACGTTTATTTGACAAGTTTCAAATTCCTTTACATTCAGTATATGTCTTCTTCTCTAAATTAATTAAGTTCATAATCATATTCTACATTACATTCACAACAATTTACATTTTTGTCGAAACAAAGAAGCTGACATAACTTTTCTTATTCTAAAGTCAAATGAATATATATAAATATATATTTACAAGATAAATTAAGTGTGGTGAGGTCTCAAAAGGAAAATCAAATTATACGCTTCCAGATAATAAGCTAACCTGAGTATCATTGGCTTCTGACCCACTATTTGTAAAGAAGGCTTTTGCCATTTTAGATGCTGTAAATGTTTGTAGAAGTTCCTTTGCAAGATCCTGTGGGCGAATGATAATGTAAAAGTAATATTAGAGAGCATATTTAGAGAACATCCTTCTGGATATTGTGCAACAAGAGCCATGTAGCATCATTGTTACTATCAGAATAAAGATACTATGAGATTAAAAGTGTCAACATAAAATTCAATGTAGACTAGATCTTGACGCTGAAGCTAAATTATATAACTGTAATGGACTCCCTGAATTCAATAAAAACAAAGTCAAAGAGCAAATTCATCAATACCAAAGAAGGTCGTGTAGTACGATTCCAAAAGGAGTGGTAAAATGGCAAGGTATTCAGTTGTTCAGTTGCAGCTTTGACAAGACGAGGTTCATTTCCCCCTGCAATTGCAAAAGTGCATCGGCATATGAAATTAAGAAAAGAAATTAAATCCTTGGCATGCAAGTTGGATACATGAATTTCACTACATGTAGAGGACTAACGGGCATTATAACTTTCTTGGTGCAAGATTTGTCTAATCTACTTACTTAGGCATGGGACCACAATTCATATGGCCCTAAATAAGTGGCCATATGAATTGTTCAAAATGGGTACTTTTCTCCTTTTAATTTCCTGTAGCAGAAGAACATAATAAGAAGTCATCATCAGGAACTTCTAATGAAGTAGGAATTTGTTTCCCTCTTCCCTTGCTGAATAAAAAAATGGGCACATGTCCAAACATAAGAGAGTAATGAATGGGTACATGATCAAGATAAAGTCCGTCGGATAAATATCCAATAACCATACCCGTGGCATGTCATTCTTGAGAAGGGAATTTCAGAGGTAATGAAAAACTGTGTAACAAGCAACGAAGTAGAACTTTGCTCAAGAACCAACTCAATTAGCATTTAGGTCTCTCACATTCTTAGTCAGTATTCAAGAACCAATGGCAGGTAACAGCCTGTACAGTCCAGTAGAAATTTTTTCTTGAAAAAGCAAGGACATGCTTGTTTTCTTACATAAGTAAATGAGATCCCTTTCAAAACAAGATCTTTCAACACAATGCAATCATTCAAGAGAAGTACAACTCTGCTTTTGGGCAAATGTTGCAATTATGGATTAGATAATTGCAATCATTTAACTAATACCAACGCGTATTAGATAGCATTACCAGCTTATAACTGAGAAAGGGCAAGAAGTCTCCAATAATCGTGGTGTTCTGGATTATTTGTTGAAGAGTTCTGGTTGTGTACTTGCACTCCCTCCCTTACCCACACAATTGTTTGTGCATATACACATTAAAATTTGTAAAAAACGAAAATGGTTGGTGGGGGCTTCAGGTAGCTTCAAGAACAGCAAAAATATTCATTCTGGAAATAGAATGAAAAATAAATAAAATAACAAAACAAAAAAGAATATCCGAGGTTCAGCTAATTGGCACCACAGAATTTGTGAACTACTGCTAATTCAAAGTTATCAGAACCTTGTACGAGATTTGGGTTACTTTATCATTTTCACTGTATTTTATATGCAACATTCGAGAACCCGCTGAAGATAGAAATTATTATACTTTGACTCTTCCTTTGTGGAGGAAGGAAAAAATTCAAGATGCCTTTTTTTTTTTCTTTTTTAGGGCGATAATCACTTATCAAAATTTCATCAATACATCGAAGGCTTTTCTGTAAATATATTGATAAGATAGCTTGGTATCCAAACTATATCAGTGATTGTGATCCTCATCCTGTACATAATTAGTGTTATGATCTACCAAAGAAATTGGGTGGGTATAACTTACCCAAAAAAGAAATTGGGTGGGTATAAGGCATTTAGTCTAACCCCACAGTTGCTTAAGTACCAAATGTACAAGATACTGCTTATCCTCTCATCATGGGGCTTACAATCACCTACACAACAGAATTAAAATTTTATAATTCTGGGGAAGTGGCTTCCCCAATAAATTTGGAGTGTTCCAGAATGTTTATGTGCAAAATCAGATTGTCATATTTGTACAAGTATTTCAAACATCAGTGTTGAAAAGCAAGGAACATAAATTCAACATGTAAAAACATGAGAAAATGAATTGAGAGAGAAGTTGGGGTTAGCATGGGGGTTCATTAATACCTAATGCAGTGCACCATAAACCAGCAAGAGCATCAAGATACTTGTTACCATTGCTGTCATAAACATAGCAACCCTGTAAAAGTTAATGAAGAAGAATTGTGTGTGTTAAATGGCAGAACATAACAGCTTTTCTAGAATAATAAACAAAAAATGGTGACATAATAATAGAGAATGTACATAGCTTCTTGTGTTTCTTTGACGTCACAAAATGTTAGGCAAATTAAAGGCAACAGGTCAAAACGTTGTACCTCAGATTTATCTATGACTAAAGGATGCAAATCAGTAGTCTGCCACCCAGCGGTGAAAGGTGCCAACATATCATGCCCTTTATACCTGAGAGTGCCAAATAGTTTCGGTAACAAATGGAAAAATATATATATTTATGGAAGCACAAGTACGCATTAAGCCATACAAAGAATGAGTAAAAATATATATATGTCCTATGTTCTCTCAGTAAAAGAATGAGAGAGAGAGGGGGGTGGTGGGGGGTTGGGGGTTGTGGGGGTTGGGGTTGTGTGTGGTTTGGAGAGTGTTATGAACAAAATAAAACACTACATACCCTTTAAAATCTGGTTTGGAGAGTGTTATGAACAAAATAAAACACTACATACCCTTTAAAATCTAACTCAGTTGCTGTATCTGTACTATTCCATCTGGCCAGTGAGGGAGACCAAATCAAATGTTCCTGCGAACTTCTACAAGCTGCAACATGTTTTATGTATGTACCAGTCTGCAAAAATGGAAGTAGAATAAGTTGCCAATTACATAAAGGGACAGTACTAAAGCATAGAATCTACCCAAAACATCAAAGGTGCATTTGGAAGTCCAACGGTATTTAAATTTTCCGTTGTTTTTTGCACATCCTTTTCTGTACACATTCAACAATGTGAATGGAGTGGGAAAAATAAAGGGAATCAAGCTGTCAGAAAAAATAATATACAAATTTAGGATTTCACTTAATTTCACAAAACTATTAGAGCCTTTGATGGTTCCCATGTCCTCCAATACCACCTTCCAGTTCAAGATGGTGAACTACTGAATTTGTTCCTTCTAATTCTATGCAGAACTATGAGCCAATGAATTTCCATGGTCAGTGTAACTTGTTCTAAAGAATACACAAATAATTTAAATCCGAGAATATTTACTAAGAACCTGTAAAGTATTGTACAATTTTCTGCAAATATAAAATTGAATTTCAATTAATAGAATGGGCCTCACAGAAAATTGAGTCGAGATCATCAAGCATTAAGTATTTCTTCAATTATCTACTTCTTATTAAAGCAATTTGAATAAGACATTGACTTTAAAAAATTTCGTTCAGCTAAAACCATGGACCTTCATAGCCAAATATAAAAGGATTTTTAGATACACACCATCCAATAAAACAAACATCTCTCACATTAGACTGATTTAGAAAGAGAAAAAAAGAAAAAAGAAAAAAGGAATGATATTTCTATTATCCATTTGACTGAGATTTACCTTTTTCCTGACCTAGTCATCCATTTCTTGACCTGCAACTACAAGCAATTGAAAGACAGCTAGACTCATCAAGCTCAAATGTGCTAGTATTTGCATCTAAAAATTAACTTAATTTACTGTAGTAGATCAACAAGATAACAAATTATTGTATAGAGTCTCCACCATAAAGGATGGGCCACCGTGCCGGAGAGATTCGTTCCTACTTGAATATATTATAAACTTTGGGCATGAATAATTCTATAAACAAGTCATACTTTTTTCTATATTGGGTACCAATATTTCTTGAGTTAATACCCACATATACTTGTCCGATAATTTCTAAACATAATAATTTTAAAATATTTTTTTTGTTATGAATACCTATATGATACTGACACCTCTTGAGCATAAATTATATTGTTCCTAGTATATTGTCATAGTAAAATTATTAAGAAAAACGCATCAATGGTTTCAAATACTTAAAATAATTAGAAAATAGTGAGAATATCACAACTTAACTCAATAAGGCCTTTTCCCAACCACTTAAGGTCGTCTACATGAATCTTTTTCCCCAATCTCAATCTATCTAGGACCATAACTATAGATAAACCATTTGCTATCATATTAAGATAACCCAAGTTAGTTTTGGTCTTTCTCTTTTCCCATAATTACCTTCTATAACGACCATGACACTTTTACTAATTGGTTAGTTATCGTACATCTCAACCAACCAGTGCACTGTACGATAGATAGTGTTTCCATGATAATGAGAATCTGCCCATGAAAATACACAAAAATACACTATCTAAAGTAAAAAAAACTGTGAAATAGAATTGAAAGTCACCATAAGCTAATCCACGGAGTGTCAAAAACCAATTATAAGTCTTAAAAGCATGGCAAACAATCCTTAATATAAAAAATTATCAAGAAATGAAATCAAACTAAATGAGTCTCCAAAATTACTCAATGATAAGCCGCCAAAGCTAAAAACTCCACTGTAATTGAATGATAACTTGATTAGTAGAACCCAAAGTAATCAATTTATAGCTTTATCTGTGGGAAGTGATAGATCGAGAAACAAATCGTGACACAGAGATCTACTGTATGAAAGGACCCATGAAGCACAAGATACATATAATTTCAGGTATACATTCATCCACACAGATAAATATGTAAGAGGTAATCTAAAAAAAATTATCAAGTGGGTATCGAGGATTTGAAACCTGGGTGAAGCTTCTGAGAGTGGATAGAAGGAGACGGTTGGTGATCATCTTTTTTCTTAGATATATTGACTTTGCTATTTAGGCCCAAATACCCAGATAAATGAAGCAATTGCAGACACACAGAATCAGAGCATAACAGGAGTGAGGAGTGAAGAGTGAGAAAGCACGAGTTGATCTTTCTCTCTTGATATGGTAGCAATCTTTTTTTTTCCTATGATTATGATATACACACCTTGACTTGTGAAGAACACGTGTTTGTGTTGGACAAGATAATTCGGTGAGACTTCAAATCACAAAACAATAGAATCACTTATTAGATATATTTATTATATATATAAAATTTACGGAGTACTTGATATTGAGTAATTTTTGAAACAAATTGGGCCATCCTTTTCCACTACCTAGTACCCTAGTACTTACCAAGTAAAATTAGTACCCTATGTTCCTTGATTTTATTGTGTTCTCAATTTTATTTTCCTGTAAACCAGTAAATTGAAACAAGCCTTAAATTATTGAATATTTTAAAAATAATTATTAAATAATTGAATTAGATAATTATATGATATTACATTATGTGATGGGACTTTCACTCTCTTCACATAAGTCAAATTGAATAACTATCAAATTCAGTTCCTAAATCATTACTCATTTTTTAATATCAAATTCGGTACCCCAATATAGGATATTTTGTGTGTGCATCTAATTCCTTGTAAAAAAAGTAAATTGGATGAGGTGGAATTATTATTAGGTTGGATTAAGTATAAATATTTGATGCAATTAAATCTCTATGGTCCTCCGTATATTGGAATCGTTTCTAATAAGTGCTTGGATTCTTATTTTAAATGTTATTAGATATGCTCTTAATATACTTCATTTACCATTTCCACGTGCCATCATTCATTCAATTTTTAGTCAAATACCACCAATTCTCCACCTTTGAATTCCAGTAGTGCACTAAAATAGTTTGGGACATAAATATAGGGTGTGTAGATCTAAAACCTTTTTTTGTCATTGAAAAAAGAACTGAAAAGGCAACGTTTTAAAACCTTAAGGTCAAATTGCACCGGATCCTTCATGCTATCAAAAAGTTTAATTTTAATTTTTTACAACAAGCACCCACAAATTATTAAAGAGAGGTATTTTACAATTTTTTTGATAATATAAAAGAATTTAGTGTAATTCATCTAAATTTATATTATAAGTTATAACATATATTATCATTTAAAAACATTGATGAGAAAATGGAAACGCTGATGACTTTTTAATTAATATATTATATTTGTCTTAAGGGTAAATTCTAATGACACCTTTTAAAATTTGACCTAATTACAAGTAAATTTGAAATTTGTTATTTTTTTTTAATAAAGACTCTCCTATGTCTTGATGAATTTACTTATCTATCATCATTAATCTATTGCTAAAAAGATTAAAATATCTTACTTACGTTAAATTACAAGTTTACACACCTTAATTTTTTTTTTTTTTCCCATTACTTCTCCCTCTCCCCTATACAATATATATATATATATACACACACACACACAATTACAGATCACTACCACCATCCACGATTGTCTTCTCCGACACACCACCACCATTACCATCATCCCACCACCATTCCTGTGAGCCACTACCACCGGGAACGCCTCGATCACCATTCATCGAGGTACCCATCATCTTCCTCTTCTACTATTTTTTTTTAAAGAAGAAGAAGAAGGGAACCACCACAACCGTGAGAACTCGCCCTCCCTGACTCACTCAACCCCGACGCAGTCCTCTTCTTCTCCAATTCCACAACCAACCTATTTCTGCTCTGACCCAAACAAACGGTCCCATTGTCACGAAACGCGCCGGAATGGTCGAAAGTAGGGGTCACTGACACTAAATGTTTCGATGGCACGCAACCCATTACGAGAAATGGTCACCGACCCACGAACAAAGATTGATTTTCAACACTATCAGAGATCGACCCAGATCGAGAAATATGTCAATTAAGCGAATTTTGACCTCGATCTGTCAAGTCTCAAATGGGGTTTTTCAGTACTGGGTCACATTACAGATTAAAAATTCTTAGCCACCATGGTCTCACTCATTGTCTCACGTTGCCATCGATTATCAATGAAGTAACGCCTCATCAAGTGGTCATCACCGAAGGAGTAACACTCATCAACTGGTCATCATCGAATACTAGCCATTAACTTATAGGGTTTTGCCTCAGCATGGAAATGGGTTTGTTACACATCTACGAACATGAGGTTTCACTGTCATTCGCGTCGAATATTGATCGTGTTCCAGCAAAGTTCCCCCAACTCCACCATCATCTCCGATAAGAAATTCCAACTAGCCACCATAACTGATGAGACGCAATCAACAATTGCGTTTTTCTCTCTCTATACCCATCAACTCCGGCGACCCACCACTGATGCTCTCAATGCCTTTTCAAAGAAAATAGTTCTTAAAACCCATGTAACTATCAATGAACCATTCGACAACACAAAAATACATCATATATCTCATCTCTGTCTAGAATAGATGTAAGTAAAGCAAAGCTACTAGATCGGCATCGAAATTGTTGGAGAAAGACTGAAAGATGCCAATATATTTTTGGGTATTATGAATTCAGAAGTTTTTGGGTTAAAATTGGTTGATTTCAGTGCTATTGTTTTGATGGTAGGGGCGGCGGCGGTTTGCGGGAAAAAAATGTTGGGGGATGGTGGTGGTGATATTTATTATATATATACATATAAATAAATAAATAAATAAATATATATATATATATCTGTGTATGCCTGTGTAATATATATACACACAGAGAGAGGGGTATATATATACATATAACTATCTTGGGGTTGTTTCGACTATTGATGCAAGTTTTTTTTTTTTTCTTTGTTTTTTTTTTTTTTTTTGTAATTTAATGGCATGATAAGGTAATATGGTATTTTTACTTAATTAAAGGGCTTTTTGGTCACCTCAAATTAATTTTCCGACTAAAAATACAACTGTTGTTTTTTAACAGAAATGAGATCTTTGAGGCAAACCTCGAAGGGAATACATTGCGAACAAAATGACAGGTTTTAAATTTATTTGTAATTAGATCAAATTTTAAGGGGATCATTGTAGGTTATCCTTGTCCTAAAATAGAATTATCATATAGTAAGTTATTAACTAGATTGAATCTAAATTATAATTACTCCTCCAGGTGTGTGTTTTTGGGGGTGGGGGGGCTTATTTAATTACATTTATGCTACTTTACTTAGTTTTCCAAGAAAAAAAAATTAAAATTTTGAATACATATTTCTAATTATATTCCTTCTGTTTTTGTGCCATTTTAGTTTAATTTATTCGTATACTATTTTCCTTTCCTAATTTAATTCTAAATTTGATATCCTATTCTTTCACATTTGTGACCATTCTCAACATGCCAAAAAGGAATGTTTTTAAAATGTTAAACATTTTGAAAAAAATACTAATATATAAGAGTCATTGCAAGTTGAATTATTAAATTTTTTTTTCAATACCTGAATTTTAAGTTCATACTGTTCATGGATCCTAAAACACACTCTAATTGTACGAAAGAGTGCATTTGAAAACCTAAAGGGTTAATTTATTTATTTATAATAATACAATATAGTTTTACGAAAGAGTGCGTTAGAAAACGAAAAAGTTAATTTTTTTATTTATTTATGAAAAATATCCAAAACGCTACTGTAGTAGCTTTTTGATGAGTCGTCTTTTGACCGAAACGGGAAAATGAATAATTTTTATAGGCCCCACTTTAAAAGTGGGATTCCTGAGTTTGGTTCTCGTGTGTCACCTGTCCCCACACCTGTGGAGCCCATTGGATTGATATTTTCCCAAATAATTGTGGCTTAGAAGTTGATTTATCGTATGTTATGGGAATTTATTCTGGGTCCAGCCTGTGTCTTTATTGGACTTGTGTTTTGAGTCCAACTCACATATTGCATATTTCTTTTTTATTATTATTTTGACAGTTTATTAATCGGTTGGATGTTGCAAACCCTTCTGGCTAGTTTATAATTTATTTATTTATTTATTATTAATTTTTAGTGTGATCGATGATGGCAGTAATATCAAATTTTTAGAATACTTCATAATGCATGACCAGATACATACCAAACTCAATATTTATTTAGAGATTTTATTTTTGATTTACAATCACTTAATAAGGATAACCAACAGTCCATCTGCAACTAAACAAATAAAATATGGCTCATTTAGATTGAACAATTTTCAAGTCGAGGAGTTACCACATGCCGCCTCCTTTTTCATTATCTCATTTTTTATTTGGGTATATTACACTAACATACACAAATTACACACAAGATAGATTTTTGAGCATTTATGTGATTTGAGTCATTTGACGAGTGTGTTTAATGACACCCTTAGCCAATTTTTATCCATAAACTTGTTGGCCAAATTTTATTTTATCTTTTATTTGTATGCAATGCAATATAATACATTATTATTATATAAAGGCATTGTTAACTTTTTTAATAATGAAAGTCACTTTTTGACTGCTAACGAATTTGAGAAATATCAGAGTAATAAATGTTGAATGGTATATTCGTGTGTAATTTATCAATACTTAAAATAATTCAATATGAAATGGCCCTAAGAGCTTTAATATTCTCAAAATAAGATAGATCTAGAAATAACTCATCAAATTTTCTATTATATTGGTATGAACTGTCTGTGAGACTTGGACATGCCTCAAACTAGTTAGTGTACTTCAGAATTTGGTTAGTTCAACCCAAGTAGCAAATATTTATGATTTTTCTTAGCCTAAACACATTACCTCAAGTTTTGGACAGAACTCATCAATTGACACATAATTAATTAATGGTTAGTTTCTGAGTAAGAGATATCCATCCCCGGACATATTTGCCCAAATAACATATTTGAATGAACTAAATTTAATCAATTAGTATTAGTTTAGATGATATAATTATTTTTTTTGTAATCAGAAAATTGAGTATTCTAATTCTGTTAGGAATAATATTGTGAGCGTGTATTTAAATTTTGGAGGGTAAAAAAAAAAAAATAAGAAAAAAGAAAAGAAAAAAGAAATAGTATACAACAGCGGCAGTAGTTTTGAATAAGCATTTGATTAGGAGTTTCACCAAGACATCAAAAACACTGACTTTCTGTAATTAATTGTTCTTTGTCTAGAGCCGCCATTATCACGACAAATTAAAAAGAGTATCGTTTGGCAAACAAACATGGGGACGAAAAACGTTGTATCATGATGAGCTCTGCAATTGGTTGAGAGTGGTATCCATTCCAGAATATTAGTATCAAAACAAAGGACACACACGTGTTATTATTATTATTATTATTGAGGAAGAAAATACCGGTTTAAATATAAGAGATTATAACAGACAGTCTAATACCATACAAATGAAGTACTATTAACAAAAATATATATTCTTAATAAGAAATTAAATTCCATAATAAGAAATTGTTTAAGAAATCATTCATGTGGTAGATTTGAGATGTCAATTTATCCAGAAATTCTTTCCTTCACTACCTCTAATGGAGTTTAGGCTAGATTGTTGAAAACCCGAATCTCCCCATATTTATTAATAAGCATTTTATAAAGATAATTTTATCATTAACTATAGCATTTTTCTTTCATTATTTTTCCATAAAAAACATGCTACTCAAACTATCTTCGACCCCTATATGAAGCACTTTTGTGAAAATTAAATTATGAGCGGTGATTGGCTTGCTTTTTCTGTTTGGAACCCGTATTCAGTCTTGCATTCTCTAACTTAACCCCTAAAACATTCTTACCGTGAAAAATAAAATATAAAAAATTATTAATTGTTATTTGAGGGCTAAAACCGAACATGACACAATGGTGTGAGTCCCACTCCTCCACAATTGTTGTGGGACTCACCCCACTATTTTACGGTTCCATTGTAATAATTTTTCTTGGATCTTATTCTGATAATTTTCTTAAATTATCTTTGAGGGATAAATTTTGGAATAGGAGTGACCCGCCTAACTAACATCTCTATTAATTGAAAAAAACTTAAATGTCTAATCACATGGTACCACTATCACGTAGTGATTATTAAGTAAGAATACATTTATTTTAGTAATGCCTATCAATATATAATTAATACGTAGTTATATATCTCATCATTATATCAAAACATTTAAATTTTGGATATATTATTAATCTAATTTGATACAATCAAGAAGTAAAATATGGTATAGCTAACTTTATAGTATTAATTTGTACAGAAGACTTGTCTCAAACAAAACTTGCCTTTCATATTGAGTTTTAACCATTTCACCATCCTTAATTGATATGCTGGAGGGATCCATCCATTAGGTGGTCAGTGAATTATTTAAAAAAAATTACCCACTCAAAATCATTAGATACATCACTGTATATTATTAATATTATTATTGTTCAAAATTGCACGTCTCTTATGTTTCCAACACTTAATCTCTCTTCTTATTTGTGTGTCCATTTATCGTCAAATAAAAAAATAATAATAAATATAGAAAATAAAGTCATAATTAATTTAGAGTGAATCATGAGCCAGTTTTTAAATGGTAAATCATATTTTTGATTAATCCTAATGTGTACGATTGTGACATTGACATGGAAAAGTGTATTTGGCTATTTGATGGTCCAATGATTTGACATAATCATAACTTTATAAAGCTAATCCTAACCACACTTGGTAACAGAAGTAATGATGGTGATGATTAATACTTTTTATATTATAAAAAAATTAATAAGACGTATCAATTTCTAAAAGATAAGACAAAGCTTGATCTCTTAAAACTTGGCAAAGCAACTGCCAGAGAATCCAAAGATGATGTAATTAGGGAGAATATTAATACCTAATCAGACCTTAATTAAACTACAACATTTGCTTCCATAAACACTCAGCACAACAGACAGACTTGACGACGGACAAACGGAGAAACTAACGTCGATAATACCACCAAAAAGCTATTGACCTTTCTCATCCTTCCCCTCTCTCTCCCTCTCTCTCTACTTTCTCTCTCATCACTGACAGTTCGAATTCCCCTCTCTCTGCAACTCTCTGCAGAAACTTTCTTGTCCGTTCTCGAAGGTTTGGCAATTTTCACTCAAAAGTTTCTCTAAAGGGCTTACCCTTCTTGATTCTCTCCATTTCATCTCTCTATCCACCGATTATGCTTCAAAGTCTAGTTCCTCAATCTCCAATTGGCTCAAACCCTAGCCCCAGCTCGTCCAACTCGGCCATGAGAGCTAAACGCACCATAGACCGTGCCGGTGGCGGCGGCGAATCCTCCGGAGAGCACGACGACGACGCGTCGCGGAAGCGGCGAAACTTTTCCGGGGAGGCCACGGTTTCAGGCGAGAAAACGGCGGTCGAGCATGAAGAAGCAGTCATCGACGGCGAGTCCACCGGGTTACGACTTCTAGGGCTGTTGCTACAATGCGCCGAGTTCGTGGCCATGGACAACCTTGACGACGCGACCGATCTTTTGCCGGAGATCTCCGAGCTCTCATCGCCGTTCGGGTCTTCACCGGAACGAGTAGCGGCGTACTTCGCCGAAGCACTGCAGGCTCGGATCATCAGCTCGTGCCTCGGCACGTATTCGCCTCTCAACATCAAATCCCTAACCCTATGTCACATCCAGAAGATCTGCAACGCCCTGCAATCCTACAATTCGATCAGTCCGTCCATCAAGTTCTCTCACTTCACTGCCAACCAAGCGATATTCCAAGCACTGGACGGCGAGGATCGAGTCCACGTCATCGATCTCGACATAATGCAAGGCCTTCAATGGCCAGGATTGTTCCACATCCTGGCCTCCCGATCGAAAAAGATCCGATCCATGCGAATCACTGGCGTCGGATCCTCAATCGAACTCCTGGAAGCGACCGGCCGGCGACTCGCGGATTTCGCGAGTTCACTCGGTCTACCCTTCGAGTTCCATCCTTTAGAAGGCAAGGTTGGGAACATAACTGATCTGAGTCAACTGGGAGTAAGAATTGGCGAAACAACGGTGGTCCACTGGATGCACCATTGCCTATACGACATAACGGGGAGTGATTTAGGGACGTTGAGATTGTTGACTTCTTTGAGGCCCAAACTGATCACGATCGTCGAACAAGATTTGAGCCACGGAGGTAGCTTTCTGGCGAGGTTTGTGGAGGCACTGCATTATTACTCGGCGTTGTTTGATGCTTTGGGTGATGGGTTGGGTGAGGACAGCATCGAACGGCATCAAGTGGAGCAGCAGTTGTTTGGGTGCGAGATCAGGAACATCGTGGCCGTTGGTGGGCCCAAGAGAACCGGTGAGGTCAAAGTGGAGAGATGGGGGGATGAGCTGAGGAGGATTGGGTTCCGACCCGTTTCTCTGGCGGGTAACCCGGCCGCACAGGCCAGTTTGTTGCTTGGCATGTTCCCATGGAAAGGATACACTTTGGTGGAAGAGAATGGGTGTTTGAAGTTGGGATGGAAAGATCTGTCTTTGTTGACAGCATCCGCTTGGCAGCCGTCGGATTAGATTACCAGAGGCGAGGAGAGGAGGAGGATATCGGGATTGAGGTCAATCATAAATCGAAAGGACATGTGTTTGTCACCAAGTACTATTTATTGATAAGTAGAGGAAGGTTTTGTCTCTGATTTGGTACAGTTTAAGAGTTCTGGTGATTGAAGCATTAAGTGAAGAGCTGTCTTGTTCACTTTGTTGTAATTCTTTGAAAGGAAGAAAAACATGTATTCGTTTATGTTGGAGTGGACCGCTATTTTTTCTAGAAAATTGAACCTAAATAAATAAAGAAATAGATTGATTCTTTATGGGATCCATTCCTAGTGATTTTAAAAACACTCGCTATACATACATTTTTTTAAAGGTGAATTACATTGACCTTATGTTGTGTTTGATATGCAAGATTGTAAATATGGAATATGTATGAATGGATTGATAATAATAATTATTTTAATATTTTGTTGGACTAATTTAAAATTTAGAATGTAATAAATTTTAAATTAAAAATTTTAAAATATCTTAAATTGAAAAAATAGCATTCTTTTATAAGGGCGTGACAATGGTGCTATAGGTAGAAGTGGAAACCGAAAGTGGTGTTGGAACGCAACGGTGGTGTTGTGGAAAGTGTTGGTAGAAATAATGGTGGTAATGGTGGAAGGTCACAGTAGTGTAGGTGATGATGGTTGGAGGAAGTAGTGTGGTGGTGGTAAAAGGTGGCAGTGGTGGTAAGTGGTGATAGAAAGCAATGAAGGTGACGATGGTGGTTGTGGTGGAGGGCGTTGGCAATGGTAGTGGCGGTAGAAATGGTGGAAGGCGCCGGCAATGGTGGCAGTGACAGTGACGATGGTGACAACTGTGTAGGTGGTAATGATGATGGTGGTGGAAGGCAATGAAGGTAGCGGTGGTGGAAAGCGGTAATGGTGAAAGGTGGTGACAAAAGGTAGTGGAGGTGGTAGTGGTGTGGTGGTTGAAGGCAACAACAATGGTGGTGATGATAGTAATGGCAGTGGAAGGCAATGGAGGTGGTGGGGTGAAAGGCAGCGGTGATTATGATGGAAGGTGGTGAAAAGCAGTGGTGAAAATAGTAATTTTTGGACTTGGAACATAAGAGTATTTTAGATGAGCATTTCATTCTATTCCATTCATGTACATTATAAAAAATAGTGTAAACTAAATTGATATGTTATATATCAATGATTTTGTGGTCCAGTAATATTCCCTCTATTTTTCAAAATGAATGATGAATATTCGAAAGTGAGCGTGTGAGCGTGACTTATAATCTCTAGATAACAGTTTCATGCTCGGGATTTAATCCTTCTTGTTTATTTATTGTGCCGCCATAGCCAACTAGGTACTGGTCTCTGCGAGGGAGTCGGAGTCCAATCAATTGCAGTGGAACAAATAAAAAAAGGGTTGGTTTGTCAGTCATGTCAGTTGTCAGCATGAATAGAATAACGCTTGCATGATTTACATCGCTAACCATTAACAAAAACTATTGAGTTACTCGCCTAACCCTTATGAAACAAACCTCTTTTGCATCGCTACAAACTGGCTTACTCGCCTCACAGTTGTTTATCCCCCAATTTCTTTTTCTGATATTTTCCTTCATCACAGCCATGTAACTATTTTTTATTTTTCACCAGGGGCCAAATCTCCATTTGTAAGTTGCAGTTTTTTTTTTTTTCTTTTTTAATCATTTGAAAGGCACAGAAGCCAGGAGGCAATACAAGGAATAAGCCGAGCCAAATAAACACATACAAATCATGAAGCAATATAATAAAATGAAGAACATGTTCCACATTTGCTAAGAAAGAGTTACCGCTCTAAAACGAAACCATCAAGGAAGAAGACAGCAAACTGGAGTGACCAAATATCAGGCCATCATCAAGACAACAACTTCAAAACTGCATCTACAAGGCGCCTCCACACAGCCAACCCCGCATAAGATCAAATCAAGCCAGAGAAAAACAAAAATCGAACTAGATTAGAGATCTAACTGAAGGGAAAATAACAGATCTACCCTTTCGAGTCTGAAACAAACCAAACAAGAGCAGATCTAGCCATACAAAAACAAAAAACGACGTAAAAAACCACCCACATACGAACTTATTATTACACCACTTTCATTCATTGGTTCAATCATTGTTATGCCATTGTTATTAATCTGTGGGAGGCAAGTAAGGTCACCTCCCCACTCCTATGAAAGTCCCCACTCCTATGAAAGAAAGCAAGGAGCAAAGGCGGAAGGGACCGAGCCGCTGTGAGAGAGAGAGATGGGAAAGAGAGAGAACAGAGGAAAAGTTGAGGTCTGTGAGTTGCGTTTTGGTGGATCTCTCTTTAGTGAGCCAAGTATAATCCCAACTAGCTAGTGGGCTCATTTGATAGGGACTGTTTAATATGTTACTTTCTTCTCGCCCCTTTAGGAGACTTCTTGCACCGTAAGATTGTTTTTGATCCTTCATTATAGAATTCCACCATCTTTTCACTCATTTTTTGTTAATAGGAAATTGGTTCAATTTCAATCCCTTTTGTACCAATTCAGCAAATTTATAATTATTTACGTAATAATTAATATTACTTCAGTCTCAAAATAAATATATATATTTTTTGAACTGTGACTTACACCTAACTTATGTACCTATGTTAAATTGATTACACAACCCTACCATAGAATATTCCTATCGAGATCCTAATTCCTTAAGGCGACATCTTTGGATGAATATGCTGTATTCGTCTTGTTAGTTGAAAATAATACTACTAATGCCCAATAATTTCTCCAATTATCAAAACAAAAGTGTTACTGTGCAACTTGATCTAGGGAAATTGAAGTGGGAATATCTCAAATCACAGTGGTCTCGAAGACACTCAACACATATACCACGTATAGATCAGCTCTAGTACTATCACACTAGTCTCCAAGGTTGTTTTGGATTAATTAATCCAATTGGGGTTAAACTATAATGCCTGAAAAACCAGATTTCGTCAGATGCAGGGAAAGATTAGCTCGCCCCATAACAATGAACCACCTTTGCAAATTTCCTTTTAATGAATCTTCATTTTTAAACTAAAATTTAAAATTCATTCATTTCATTTTTCGAGTTTACGACTCAGAATTTGAGTAGGGTTTAAATTAGCTACAAGGTGCAGTGTTCATGGTTCGGGATACATGACCTATGTGGTTTTGGGTTCAAGGTTTTGAGATTTAAGGACTCAAATTTAAGGATCAGGTATAAAGGTTTGAGAATTATGTTCATCCATAGAACCAAAGGAAAATGACTTCTCTGTAATTACACTACCATAGTTAGCCATCTACAGAATTCAAAACTAAATCACTGTGATTTAGGCTACCTTTGATGAGGAAAATTTAAAACAGAGACTCCAACACAGTCCAATACTAGTAATCATTTCTGAATTTAATACCCCTTATTTCTATAAACTTCTAAGATACATCATACACCAAAGTAATATTTTACCAAAAAAGTATTTCATCATCAATATATCCATACCTATGTAACATATGATTTATATATATACATATAAAAAAGACGAAGCGAGCAAACAAAGCAAACAAATTAAAGTAGTAGTCATTAATCATCAAGCTAACCCATATGAGATCGGTCTCCAATTGTTCTGATGAGGAGAGAAGCAGTGTCTTCGATCTACAAATAGTCTTAGTATTTGACGACCAAACGCCTAGCACACATACTGCAATAGAACTTTTTCTTGGTCCTAAAATACAGAGGCAGGAAACAGAACCTCCATTGACTCTCAACGTCCATGGCCTGTATCATCCCTCCACAGTACGGACACGACCCTGGTGCTGGTTGCCTAGATATCACCCTTTCGTCCTCATCGCACACGAACACCAAACACATCTTTATCCTCTTTCTCTCTCTACCTTCTTCTCTTTCTCTGTCTGAGTTGCTTTTCTTTGAAATATCCTCTTTCTCTCTCTACCTTCTTCTCTTTCTCTGTCTGAGTTGCTTTTCTTTGAAATACAAATTGAGGGTTTTGCTGAATTGTTGATTACTGGGCTATCTTGGGATTCTAGTTTTGTGATTTGAATTAGGCAACAAGGCGTGTATGTGATGGTAGTATTTATAGAGAGAGAAATTTAGAGAGAGGGAGACGGAAGAGGGAGGAAGAAACTAGACGCGTGTGGAAGAAAGGATTGAGAGGAAGAAGGTGACTTCAATCTAGAAGATTCGAACCGACCCATAAAGGTTTTACTTTTACGTACCGTTTTACTTTTATTCTATGCTTAAATGATAGACTTTTCTGATAGCGCGTGGAGGAGCTGTTGAAACTCGCCTTCTATGCGTGTGTGCATGTGGAACACATATTTGTTTGTACTAAACAATTTATTTTCCTTTGCGTTCCATATTATAAAATTTTTGTAAGAGCGTTTGATAAAATTAAAAATTTTAAGAATTGAAATTTATAGGTGTTTTATCCTCACCTATAACTAAGTGTTACTTTTTTTTTTTTTTTAATGATATTTCAAAACAAAACATAATTTAAATATATATTTGAAAGCACCAATTAATGTTTTAAAATTATTAAAATGGAGGCGATATTTGTACTCCACTTTCTTACATTTGCACTACAATCATAAATGATATGACAATTTTAACCTTAACTTTACAAATAAATGATTATTACTTTTTAATTGACACAACTGTTCTTTTAGATTTCCTATAATTATCTAATTTTTAATATTTTAGGTCTCTTTTGAGTTTGACAAAATAATAAAAATAATAATAATAATATATATATTTTACAGGACCAAAAAAAAATATTATGTTGAATAAATTTCCTTTTCTGACCGGACTAAAAAAAAAAAGTAACCATTAAAAAAAATTATCACTTTTGACAGAAAATAAAATCCCCCAAAAAAACATATTTATTGAAAAAATTATCTCTTTTGTCAAGATAAAAAAAAAATTCAAAAAAATATCTCTATTGATAAGTCCCCCAAAAAATATTTATTTTTATTGAATAAATTATTATTATTATTATTTTTCCTAGTTGGTACTCATACACACTTACCTCCATGGAGGCTCAAACCCCTAACCTCCTTTTGAAAAGTAAGGCCATGGTACCACTAGGCCACAGATCTGTTGGTTAAATTATTTCTTTTGACGGGACCCATAAAAAATCACCCAAAAAAAAGTTACGATGACGAAAAAAAAAGAAGTTAACTTTGTTGAATAAATTATTTGTTTGAATTGTCAAAATAAAATTATCGAATAAATTATCTTCTTTGAGAGGACCTTCAAAAAGAAAAAGAAAAGACAAAAAAGTATAGCATAGGGAAAAAATATATATTAAGGTAAAAAAAAAAAAAAAGAAGTTAAAGTTGTATAAATGATAGTTATAGTATTATAAAATAATGGATGGTACAATAAAGAATTGAATGACCTTTTTGTCATTTTCTTTAAAAGAAAACAACATGCATGTGTAGTGTAATTAGAGAAAAGAAGAGTGCAAATATGGCCTCCCTTACTGAAATTTTAATTTTTTTTTTATATTAAAATCTTAATTTTAATTTGATTATTTCAAATGTAACAATTTGTTTTATTGTTCCAAATTTAAGTTTTGAAAACTTTTTAAAATAAATAAAATAGTAAATGTTAAACTTCACTATTTTTTAAAATTAATAAAATAGTAATTATTAAATTAAAATATGCTGAGTAGTATCACGGCGTGCATGACAAGGAGGTAAATTTCAACCTTTTTATTTGTATGCGTTATTCTTGTTCTTGTATGCCTCTCTATCTACGCGGAATCATATATGCAAGAGAAGAACTTTTACGCGCTTTTGGATAAAGAGTAAATTCCAGGAAAAGTTTGAAGGATGTCGGGCTCATTTGTGATTAATTTTATTATTATTATTATTATTTATTTTAGTCACGTCCATCCAGTAAATATATAGATACGGAATATATGCAATCATTCATGGAAATTTTGTCATTGTGTTAGTGGTGCCCATATGTAATCTCAATAAATTTAAAAAATGATACCATATATTTATAGAGTATGTTTGAAATGTGTTACATTTAAATTTGATATAGAATTTTAAATTTGGAACCATATTATGTTTGGAATGAATGATATAGAGTTTTTGGCCCAAATTCATATCAGCAATTTGATGATATTGTGTGTTTTGATTAAAGTAAAATAAATTTTTAAAATAAAATTTCGTTGCCGAACATAATTCCGCGAAAAACATTTTTATAACAAATCGGTTGTTTTGGTATTAATAAAAAAAGACTTTCATGAATTCCTTTCAATAAAATTCTTTTCACACAATAAAAGACTTTTTAATATTAAAAAGCTCTAACAAACGCACTCATAATTTGTTCGGATTGTCTGGACTTTTTTTGCAAAACGGAGAGGAGATCACAATTTGATGATTTGATTATAAAGTGGACTTGTATTGCAATGATTGGAAAATGTTGGTCTAATAACGGGCTTGACTGTGGTTTGTTTGGATCCTCATGCGAAGCAAAGCAGTTTTCTTCTGTTGTAGAGATTAAATTAAAATGACTTAAAAGTGCAAAAAAGATCCATAAAGTATCATAAAGTGAAAAATAATTTTTTTTTTTTTTTACTATTTTGAGTTGCAAATCAAACTCTTAATTATATAAAAAGTTACAAATAAACCTTTCTCGATTGCCGGTCAAAATTATCAAATACTAACCATTAGTTCATGAATTTTTTTTACAATTTTTCCTAATAATAACAACTAATATCAATAATAATAATAATAATAATAATAATACAATTATTATTAATATTATTAATAACTAATAATATTAGTTATAATAATAATAGTATTAGTAGTAGTATTAATAATAATAATAATAATAATTTAAAAAAGAACAAAAATAAATTGCTTGATTAATTGCCATATGGCTACAAATAGTTTTCGCAAGCTCATAAATTGTCAAAACATATTTCAAATAATAATAATAATAAAAATAACAAATAGTAGTAGTTGTATTTATTAAAATAACAAAAATAAATTGCTTAGTTGCAAAGTATGTGAATCAGTTTAAGAACCTCCGCAAATTAACAATAAGAATAATAACAATAACTAATAATAATAATAATAGTACTAGTAGTGGTAATAGTAATAATAATAAAATTTTAAAATAATGACAAAAACAAATTGTTTGATTGATGGATCCATATACATATAAACAATTTTTGCAAACTCATAAATTATCAAAATAATAATAATAATAATAATATATTTAAAATAATAACAAAAATAATTTAAAATAATAATAATATTATTATTATTATTTAAAATAATAACAAAAATAATTTGCCTGATGGATCTATATACCTACAAACAGTTTATGAAAGTTCATAAATTATTAAAAAATAGTTCAAATAATAATAATAATAATAATAAGATTTAATAATAATAGTAGTGGCGGTGGTGGTAGTAGTAATAATAATAATTTAAAATAATAACAAAAAAAAATTGCAAAAAAAAAAAAAAAAAAAAAAAAAAAAAAAAAAAAAAACAACTATCAAGAAAATGAAAAATAATCCCCTGGACTATCTGCAAATGGGGTATAATATTCCTTCAAAAGGATAATTTAGGCATTACTTGAAAATACATAGGTGTGTGAATCAACAGATACCAATAAATATGGTCTGGTGATCTGGAGAGACTTATTTACAACTTTTTATATAGTTGAGGGTTTAATTTGTAATCCGAGATAGTCCAAGAAATTTATTTTTCACTTTCTTGATAATTCATATATATATATATATATATATATATATATTGCACTATTGCCTTAAATATATATATATTTTTTTTACACTTTTGCCTTACAATTATTAAAAGGTCCTTCCCCAATTAATTAAATGTAGACTGACTTGTCATAAAGACTGTATGTAAAGCACACACCTTCTTGATGACTTTTCAAATGCCACAATAACTTCCCAACAAAATTTATAAAAATAGCTTCATTTATTTAAATACTAAAGTAATATTTTTAAATTATACATCTAAGTTTATGTTATAAAATCTATTTTTATATTACTGTTATGGAATTAATCATTTTTTAACTCGGAGAAACCATAAAGAATTTGTAACTCAAACTTCCCAGTAACCACATTTGCCACGTGGTCCTAATTAAATAAATATGAACATAGAGAAACGTAATTCGAAAGTTGATGTGTCCATTGGTTGGAATGAGGAATGACAGCCAAATATTCTACTTTGAGTTATATACAAATTGACAAACACTAGCAATCAGGTTATGATTCAGTAAGAAAAATTAAACGTTTTGGATAGTGAAATGAGTTCTACGTACTTGAATTTCACCACGAAAACATTCATCTTATCCGTCTAATAAATAAGAACAAATAATCATGACCATCAAATTTGTACTTTCCACAACCCTACAATTATATAATAAATATAACTCATAACATTTCCATGAAACTTCACAGTATATGCTTAGCTGTTTAATCATTTGTCACACGCAAACGCAACCCTCCACAACTGAGTATCTTGTATGAGAATTCTCTTTATGCGTTACAATGTCTTCCCTTATAAAAACCCAAAGCTCCATTTCTCATATCTCCACTTCACACATTCACATAGTATTATTTCCAATCATTTTCACATCTACAACACAAATGGGTAGAAGAAACTGGTCACTCCTAAGCCATCTGAAGAGGTCCCTTAAGAAGGTAAGCTTCCTACTGCACCACTTTTACATCCACCGGTGTCGGCTAGCTTCCATCACAAATGCTCGTAAGAGTCGCAGTGTAAGCTTTAATGACCGGTTAGGCTTGTGTGAATTCACCAAAGATGAAAATCAGAACGAAAGTAGTTCGACATGGTGTCTGCAGAGGACAAGAAGCTATGCTGCTGCTGTTGCTGCTGATGAAGAAGATATCGATAAGAGAGCAGAGATGTTCATTGTTAATTTTCGTCGTCAGCTTCGGTTGGAAAGACAGATCTCTCTGGAGCTAAGTTATTGCAGAGGAAACAGTTTTGGGACTTAACAAAAGTAGCATATACTGCCGACTGTATACATGTTTTGTTAATTAATTTCCATGAGAAAGAAAAGGTTGATATATTGCTGAAGGATGTCCATGACATTAAGCTTTCATTCATTTATTTCTTGTGTGAATTCAATAATTTTTGTAGGGGAACACTTACAGTAATAAATCTCTCATTTTTATTTTTATTTTTTATTTTTTATGAAATCAACAATAATGAATGTATTCATTTATACAAATGTTCAAGTACAGAAGATTCATTGTTTTTTCCTTGAAAAAAGAATACACTGGATATTTATATGTCCAAAGGAAAATGGAAAATGAAAATAAATGTTAACCCTGTCTCCTGTTTTTCCTTCTTGGAGCTAGACGGGGACAAAAACACTGAATAATAACTTTTTTTAAAAATGAAAAAGAGAAAAAGAAGGGTACAAGAAACCCAAGTACATTGTAACATATTGATCTTCATGCGTCACAAAAATAATTTAGGAGAATAATTTAGGCCTCATTTGACCCCTTTTATTTGGTGACGATTCTATGCTAGGCCTCAGGCTCTTGCAAGGATATGACAGTTTCAAAGGCCCCAACCAGTGCTTGCACCTTGTGTTTCCTCTTCTCGAGAAGCTTACTTGCGGTCTCCTCGATCACGTCATTGGATGGTTGACAATCCCTCTTTCCTTGACCCCCATGGCTCTTCGCCATTGCATCCTTTGCCTCTGGTTTGGCTTCCTTCGCAACACTTTCCTCTTCTTCTCTTTCCTTCGAGTTCAGTGTTTGGCTTCCATCATCAACCTCTTCTTTCTCACCTACATCAACCTTCTCATCTAGTGCCTTGCCTTCAGATTTTTCACTAGTAATTTCTTCTCCTTCCTTCTGTTCACCCTCAACTTTAGGCTCACCTACAAAGCTCTCCTCAACATTAGGCTCACCTGCAAAACTCTCCTCTGGGTGATTTTTATCACTTTCCTCTGTGCCGTGGTCTTCTTCTACTTCATGATGATCATCACTTGTTACTTCAACATGTACTTTATTATCGACAGGATCTTTCATTTCACCAGGCAGATGAAATGCAATTTGATCTTCTAAAATATTCGAGGAATCAAAAGGCTTGAGAAGGTCCTCTTCTTCATTCTCTAGTTCCACTTGTACCATATCCACATCTTCATTTTCCTCCAATAGTGAAATTTCAGTTGGTACTTCATTGTTTCTCTCAGCCTTCATTAACATTATCTCTTTTTCAACCTCACTAACCGATGATTCTTGATCTTCTTGTTCGGAGTCAGGCCTCGAAGAATTGGCTACATCAGTAGAACTAACACTACTTGGTGCTTTTGTTGTGGCCTCACTGCCACTTTCACTGTTTGGATTCTTGATGGTAGTGCTTGAGCTCTTCTTTGCACTCGCTGATCTTGAAGAAAATGAGTGAGACTTGGTAGGTGCTTTCGACAGCCTATCAGTTTGGGTTTTTGGCTTAGTGGTGGTTTTGGGTAGAACCCGGGGATTTCTCTCTACAGGACTTGGAGAAGTGCGCGTTTTAGGTAATTGAGAAGGCGATGGAGGCTTGTCAAGAGATCTTCTCCTATTGAGAAGGGGCTTTTTGGCAGTGTTGGAAGTTTGTTTCTTAGTAAGCATAGAAGGATCATGACTTGAGCTGATGGTAGGTCTTAGATAATTCGGTATACGAGGTTTCTCGGGTTGGGTTGCTCCATCTTTATGTTCATCAATAGAGGCTGTGGCGGATGGGTTGGGACTTCTCCTGCGCTGCGTGGTGTTAGCATGATGATGGGGTAATGTAGGGGATATTCCCCTCCTCTCCCTCCCCTGACCAGACTCCTTTCCTTTTGTTGCCATTAATCGTGATGAATTTAAGAGACCCTGCATTCAAGGTACATACATAGAGCCGGTGCAAATTTGAGAGACAGAGAGTAAAAACATTCTACATAACTAAGCATCTACATTTTTTTCCCTAGTTCGGTACTCACACACACATGCCTCTACGGAGGCTCCAATCCCTGACCTCTCTTTGAGAAGTAAGGGCTTGGTACTGATAAGCCACTGGCCTGTTAGTAACCAAACATCTACATTCGGGATTGAAGATTCTGGCTAAGCTGCTTGATCAGTGTAATTCTGCACCTGCTAGTTCTATAATATTAATCTAATCTCACACCGTGTTAAAGGATTATACATGAGGCAACTTGGAACTATAAATCAGAATGTTCTCCCTTGCAAACTAGTATCTTTTAGTATTTGATTTAAAGAGAGACGGATGTTAATGGTTAAAATTAACAGGTTACAAGATATATTATCTGTCATGTATTGTTAATAGTAAAAATTATATGCAGAGAGCAGATAAAACAAAAAACATAGAACTACTAATTTGCCTCGAGTCACACTTTCATATATCAACATGTGTTTAGAATTATTATTTTTGCAATATTGAAACACCAGAACAGTTCTAAAGTTCTGTCCGGAAATCTCTAGCCTAAAAGAAAATTTTCAATTATTATTGTAAAATTTTGCCTTTGAACCTAACAAAGTTGGGACCATCATAATCTTGTAGCTTGTTACTTTTCAATGTTTACTCTTGAAGTTGCAAAGAATTAACTCCCTCTATTTTGACCGAGTCTCATTACATTTTCAACAAAAATCCCCTTACAATCTCTCCTTCCTGCCTATTTATAGGCTTTTACAAGTGCCATTAGAATGCTATAAGTGATTCCCTAAGTTGGGTCCCTCGACCTGAGGCCTCATTCCTTACGGGCCTAGTTCTTTTCGGAAGATCCCGTGCATTCAGCCCATTCCGCAACGTCATCGTGTGGACTGAATCCAATTTCTTGGCCCGATCCTCTTTTCGTGGGTCATATCCGGCCCATGCCACTTCCGATATCCTCAACTTTGAAAGATCTATTTAAAAATGATAGTCATCTAAAAACCAAAAAGGTGTTTATAAACATGAATAAGAAGAATATGGTGAAATCTCCTACTTTCCAATGTTTACGCTGTTCATTCAAAATGTCATTAAAAAGTGAACAGGGTCACTCATTTTAAATGCACATCTGATCAAGCCCTTAGAAAATGAAAATTGTTATCATCACCATTGCCAATGGCCAAGCAAGGCACAGTTAACATAAATAATTATTAAAATTTCGGTCGGCTGGGTGAGTGGGTGGGTGGGCATTGTTTTCGAAACAGAAAATAACTTTCAATGAAAATGAAGATAAAGATAAAATTACGTACATCAGACTCGTCCCAAAGAAATTAACCAGACTCGTCCTAAAAACCACAAACCCTTTTATTTATTTATTTATTTATTTTTACACATTTTCTTACAAATAACAATGTTCTGGTTTCAAATTGGGGAAAAATGATGGAAAGAAAACAAATACCAACCAAAAGTAAAAACAACCGAAACAGCAATCAACAAATTAACTGGTTCATCCTTTGCTACAATAACATACAATCGATACATACATATATAAATATATATAGAGAGAGAGAGAGGGAGGGGAAATGAAACCCATAGATAGCGTACCTTGTAAAAAGTAAAATTGAAGAGTGATTTTCTTGCATTGAAGGGAAAAGAAATGGAAGAAATTAAGGGTAGTGGAATTGAAATTAAGGATAGGTGGAATAAGAAGTAAAGATTGGTTTTGGGCGTTTGGTTGGCATCGCAAGTAATGTGAGCGTGAAATATGCGCAACTCAAGGTGCCCTTTTATTAAACCCAGACGTCATGTCATCATCCAATAACTCTCACTCCATTAGGAGACAGGTTGACCATTTCGCAATACTAGACCTATTTTCGTCCGCTCACTCTCTTCACAAGCGCGTCAATTACACTTTCAAGTTCTTACCGTCCAATTTTTGTTGTGCCTATATTTTAAAATTCAACATTACATTTGATAATTTCCTTTTATTTTATTTTTTCTGTGTCGGAAAGATAATTTTCATTTACTATGCAACTTTTTGAAATTTATTCCCATATTGTCAAATGAGCCTAAAATTCGAAAATGATAAAATTTAAATTAAGTATTGTGAAAGTGAGAGAGCAAAATTTAGTGCAAAATGTAAGTCATTCCTGTTTAGAAAAATTGTACTACATAACAATATAATTTAATTTGTGCATCTCAAATATTTAAAATATTGTACTTTGTCAATTTGACCCCTCAAGGGTATCTTAAAAATTTTCAATAGCAGTTGTAGAAATTAAGACAACTTGCAAAAAACTGTTTAGTATAAGAGGGTTTGTTTGCAAATTACCCTAAATATTTGCATTTGACTTCTTATTAAATTCTTGATTCCCATTTCTTCTTCTTATTCTTTTTTAAAAAATAAAATTTGATAAAGTATGAATTAACTGTAGCAACTTTGAAGATAAAATACAAGAGGGAGGGGGTCCGAACAGCCTTGTTCATAAGCCGCCCACGCGAAGTCCTTCCCTAATTCCAAACGGTCAAAGCCACCGTTAGTGAACAAATCTCCTAACAATATAAATTTGTCAAATTGTTTATTGTATACTAAAAGATAACCAAATTTGTATTAAATCTCAAAATATAAATATTAAGTAGTGGTTGCTAATATACATATATATCAAGTAGTGGAATATGGCAAATTTCTTTTTTAAATAAAAACAAAAATCTGGTGGCATACAAAGACAGCCAAATAACCAACCGGAAAGTCAGATTTCCCTCCATTAATAATATTTTATAAAAAATTGGTTTGGTTAAGTAATTATTTTCCATAAATATTTGATTTTTAATTAACTCAGGTGAATTTACTGGTTTGTTCAGGGCTAGTTTGGGCATTGGATTAACTTAAATGGCCCCTTTACAGGGAGCAATTGGATAACTTAATTGATGTTATTTTAGGCAAAGAAAATATAATTTTTGGAAGATGGTAGTTATTTAAAGGGTATTTTTTTTTCTTCCAACAATGTATATAATGGACAATACTTGGGTTCTCTCCTCGAAGGATAAAATTCATCATCCTAACTGATATGATCCAATACAATTTAGACACATTTAAAATTTTAAGATTTCTAAAAATAATCATTACTCATTTTCTTACCGGTTAAACCAAATCCTAAAGTTTTTTTTTTTTTGCTTTCCAAGAGAATCACGATTGTTTCTATACCCAAAAAATGTACCAATTAAAGTGTTGAATAGAGAAGGAATAAGAGCTTAAAATATTATATGAAAAATTGATGTTAATCTATATTTGAATAGAGTTTTTTTCTACATTTATTTCTTAGTTAGATTTATATTTTTGTCAGAGTTAGATTTATTTTTTTGCATCCCTCCCAAGTTCTCAACACCTTCAATTGATAGGACAAACGGTTGTTCTTTCTTTTCTTTTTTTCTTTTTTTTTTTTATTCATTGGTGGAAAATAAGAAAAAGAAAGATTAAAAGTTTGTGAATACTGCAAATTTCGATTGGGTGCAATTTTGTGTCACTTATGACCTTATGTTGGTTTGTATATTGTTTTACATTTTGAATAAAAGTTGAATATTTGATTAATGTAGATAACCTAGGGTTTCAATGGAGGTTGGGTATGGAGATTTGTGAAGAGAGATAGAGGGAGAAGGGAGAGAAGAGAGCCATGCTAAAAGAAGGATTCTAAAAATTTTAAACTGAGTTTTGGTTTAATTTGTAAGTTGGATAATAACCATTATTAAAAATATTAAAAGTTTGGACATGTGTCTAAATTGTATTGGGCCACACCAATTGGGTGAACCCAAGTATTGTCCATCATACATAAAGCGAGAGAGAAAAAGAATTTGAGAGCAGTAGGTCAAAAGTGACAAAAATTAAGTCACACATAGTGCGAAAGAAAGCGAGGTCGCACGCAAAACATAAGAGCAAAAGCGTGCTTAGAACTTGAAAAAAAGGTCAGTTGAGAAATTTATGTGATTTGACTCATTAAAAATTGTGCGGATAAAAACGAATGCATACACAGAATATAAGAACAAGAGTATGCTTAAAAAGTGAGAATGAGAAAAAAATATGTTACTCCACCCAATTATGCAAAAAAGCAAGAGAAAATATGTGAATTTGGGCATAAAGTAATTAAACACCAAATCCTACATCATCCTCAATTTAATTTGAATAAGTAACAACATTTACAAAATCAAACCACCATCACCATCATTCACACAATTTTTATTTTTTAATCTAAATTTAAAAAAAGAACCGTTCCAAATATATATATTTATATTTTTTAAAATTCGTCATTGTACCATAAGTCTCAGACGGATGCAAATATCTATAAATCATGAATAATGAGATTTTAACTTGAACTCAAGTTAATAATTCCAACTTGAAGTGAAAGAGATTTTGGAAATCAATTTAAAGTCTTTAACAAACATCATTTTTTATTGAAACCAAAAAAATGAGGAGTGCAGCTCATAATGATTTGGATTTTAGTTTGTCTCTTCAAACATTATTTGAAGCCTTTATCCTCGATACCAAAGAAATCTTATCCTTTGCCAGATTACAAATTACTTTCGAGTTTTGATGTGATTCTTATCAACCACACATAATATAATTTTAATTTCGAGAGATCTAGTGAACTCAATTTTTTAATATTTACTAATTCGATTTGCAAACATGTAAGATCTTTATAATTAATATACATTCTCCCTAAGAGAAATAGTCTTGATTGGTTTTAATAAAATGTTTGCTAAAAGATTTAAGTTATTTATTTTGAAAAAGAAGAAGAAGAGATAATAACTTAATAAGTTTAGATTAGGTTGTTTAGAGATGTAACAAAAGACTGATTATTAATATAGGATAATGGAGGGACTTAATTTAATATATTTTCCAACGGGAACTTAATATAATTTCAAAATTAAATAGTGCAATTGAAATAAAATAATAGTAATATTTGCAAAAGAGTTATCAGAAATTTTTAAAAATCCGTCCAATGAGAATTAGGATTATGAAATCAATTAATTTGCTAACTCATGTACACCCTTTTTATATTTTTCCCAATGTGATGAAGATCTTGGGGAAGGGGAAAAAAAAAAAAAAATCCTCTTGGTAAATAGCTTGACAAGCCTATATAAATTGTTCGTCTAATAAGCATAGATACAAGACATGAACACGATATGACACTGATACACATACACATATACGTAAAAACAAAGTAGGACACAAATACAACGTGAACACGACTAACATAAATATAAATTTTTATTTATATATTTATTGAATGATACCATTACAAAACTTTAATTAATTTATAAATTTGATATAAAAGTTGCATAAATTAAAAGATATGGATAGTGGAATATAAAAAAAAATATAAAATTATATATGATATTATTATCAAATCTTATCATTATAATTATGTTTTGTTCTTTAGAGGTTGAACGCGTTAATGAATGTGTTCGTGTGTTCAAAATAATAAAATTTATTTTTAAATAATAAATACGCCATAAAATATCCAACAGATATCTAAAAATTTTTATGAAGTGTTCTTATTAACATGAAACCTGATTGAAGTATTTGTACTTCTAAACTTCTGGTCTACTTTTGATTAGAAAACAACTAATTGAGGTCTATTCACGAACACTAAGTGCCTTTCTTAAGGTCTATTCTGTTCATCCATGAATAATGGTTTTAATACATGTAAAATAAGAAGTGTGGTGGTGCAGTATGACTGTATGAGGGTGCTTTAAAAGCTCGAAACTGGTATGGTTGATGGAAAAAAAAAAAATCAAAAATCAATTATATATACAAAATTATGCAACCAAGTATTTGATATATTTGTGTATCCCAATTTAAATTTTAAAATTGGTTTTTTCTGGAAGGAAGAAAAACCAAAAGAGAGAATACAAAAATAAAGAAAGGGGATGAAAAAACAAAAACTTCAAAAAAAAAAAAAAAAAAAAAAAACCAATGGGTTGGGTTGGGTTGGGTTAGGTGTCTGTGAGAGAGTTTTATCAGCCTCAGATTCTGATGGTGGGGTGGGTTCGGTCCACAAAAAGAGCATATGGTTCCTGTTTGTGTTAGTTGGGGTGAGTCTTTGACGGTGACGTTTCGGTCACCCATCAGCCGTCGATATTTGACCGTCCAACAGTGTTTCATCTGACGGCTCATATTTCACCACACGCTCAATTGTTAGGACGGCAATTTGTTTCTTTACTTTAAGCTCTCCATCTGAAATTGTTTTCTCATTAGTCATCTTCCCTCAGCCTCGGATCTTACATGTACACGTTTCTCTCTCCTCTCTAAACTCTCTCTCTCTCTCTCTCTCTCTCTCTCTATTCTCTGTCAAACAAACGCCTCTTTTGTAATCAACCCTTTATCTCTATCTATCTCCTTTACCAGAGAAGAAAGAAGAAGAACAGAAAAAAGAGGTAGAGAACAGAAATTCGTTCCTCCCAACTTTTTTTATTTTTATTTTTATTTTTATCGTATATGCAGTCATAATTTTGTTTGGTTATTTAGAGAATCAAATCATGGGCGGGTGTCTTTCATTTTTTGAACTTTTTGATTGTTCAAGCTGCAAGGAAAGCGGCTATTTGCCCTGATAAACAGATAGTGAGGAAAATTTATTTATGAATCATTTAAACCAAGCAAAGCTTTTCTCTGCGTGTGTGTGTCTGTGTTTTTTTTTTTTTTTTTTTTTTTTTTTTTCGGTTTTGAACTGATGAAGCTTTGGCCATGTGGGTCTCTTGTATCGCCTTTGTTTCTTATATTATTTGTTTTTCGTTTCAACTTATGAGATGATTACGTAATTGAATTTTGTTTCTAGATGATAATTTTTCACATGATTGATAGTTGAGAATAAAAGTATTGGCTATCTCTTTTGTTTTTGCTCTTATTTGCGATGATCTTTGTACTCTTTTGATAGAGTTTAATTATATGGAGTCTTTTGTAGGTTTGAGTTTATTGGATTGTTGTTTTGAATCGATTTTCAGATAAATCAATTGAATAAAATCAAAGACTTCTAATGACGAGGGTATTATTTTTAGCTTTGGGTAATGAAATTGATTTTTTATTTTGTATATATATATATATATGTATGTATATATATTTATATATATAAATATATTTATATGGTGATGATGATGATTTTATGAACAATGTGATTTTTAGAAAGTTTTCATGTGATTTATATGATTTGCTGATCAAATTACTCCTACTAGAATTGCAGCAACTAATGCTTGCTCTTTTTCTCGAAGTTCAAGCATATATATTCCTTCTTCATTTACAATTGTTGTCCCCACTTAGTCTCTTGATAAGGCGGCATCAATATATTGATCGAGTTTTGTTGTTTGGAAAAGTGGTTTGTATGTTTCCCAGTAATTCTCTTTTTTATTAAGGTGCTTGTCATGCTACTACTTTACCTATGATTTTATTTGTATGTGGGCTTCTTGATGGATATTTTTGTTATTTATTTGAATTGTATTCATTGATCTGTTGGAGGCCTATTTTGGCTCGCTGATATCCATAGTCTTTTCAGTTTCTTGAGAGCTTGGGTTGCTTGATCCAGTTTTCTGTTCATAGTGTTCTCTTTTTTTCAGAAAACATAAAAAAAGAAAATTGATTGGTTGATAGCTTTGTAAACTGTTCAATGAAAGCTCGGTGAAAAAGAGGTTTTAATTTCAGAGAACAGTTCTTGTAGTTCTCTGAGAATTGTTTGTTATTATCTTATATTACACAAAACTGTTTTCAGAGAACCGAACCGAACAGTCTCTAGAATGTTTTTCTTTTGTGCCTTATTTTTAATGTTCTAACATTATGATATGCATTTGGGTTATTAATAAGGTTGGACTTGGTGTTTATGCAAATATTTTGGTTGTGTTATTAGCAGGTGTTTAGCCTTTTGGGATGACTAATGAGTAAAAATGTCACTATGCTTTTCAGAAATTTAGAGGAACAGATGAAACTGTAGTAACAACATTTTTTTTGGCTGATGGCTCTGGGATAGCAGTATGGAGTGCACCCCTTGAAATAGAGCAGAAATGTTGATGTTTTAGCGAATTTTATAAAAATAACATAGAATGAGTGGATGGCTTCAAATTATTTATGGAGGAGATAATATATTGTTAAGTGTTCCAATAGTTGCCTGGTCAGTCGAAATTTTAATATAAATTTTTGATTCTAATTGAGCTTTATTGCTGGTCATGGCTTAAAGGTATCAAGTTAATACTCAAGCTTTCTTGTTATTTGGTTTGAGTTAAGTAAATTTTTTACTTCCTCACGGCCTAGCATTGGGATATAAAGGGAAATATCTAGCATATAAGCTTTTTAGTATCACTTTATTAGGCAATTGAAATGCTAAGACTGCTCTGAAATTGTATCTATTTGATCTATCTGGGTTCCCCCAGTTTGTCACCTGTAATCACTTACCTACTTTTAAGTAATGTACATGAATAATGTCTGTTGACTGTTGCGATGTGTCCAACAAGAATAAGATTTTAGTGTGAGAATTATGATTATGTGTAACAACATATGAGATTTGTGAAACAATGTTTTCTTTCTCTACCATCTTGAAAATCAAGCTCAAACAGTTCCTGTTGTTTTCTGTTCTGAACTTGATTTCCTTATGTAGCCTACCTTTAGCATCTCTCTCTGCTTTATTGTTTCCCGTTTCTATATTGTATAACACTTGATTACAACGTAACCAGGATTTTCTACTAGACTTTGATATTCTAGCAAAGGGAGATAACTGATTATCAAATTCCCTAAAGCTTTGTGGATTCCATGAATGCTTCTGGTGCCTGGAATTTCTCAAATGTCCATAAAATTTGAGCTCAATAGTAGAAATTCAATGTTACTCCCGTCAACTTTGTATAGTCAATTATTATGGTAATCCATTTGATTTTCGTTTTCCCAATTTCATGTATCATCGGAGCACCATAATTGCAAGCTATGCTTGTTTCCTTTTAAGGTTGTATTATGTACACAGCAGTACAATGAATATTGGAAAATGATATTTATTCCTTATTATATGTCTATTCAGCTTAAATTATAATCTATTGATGTCAAAAGACCAAATCCGGTTGAAGGTCTTGTGATTGGAGTATATTATTGTACGTTACAGATAGTAAAGGGTATACACTGCTATATATGGATGAGCTTTCTGGTAAAAGAACTATTGGAGGGCATGTCATTCCTAGAAAGGGATCCGGTCTTGTCTTGAGAGATACAACTGAGAACAGGGATCGAAATGCTCAATTCTGCAATCGACTTGGATGCAATGGCAGACTTAACTATACGAGAGGTTCTCAAATTGGAAATTCTGAGAAGCCCAAATCTTCGAGTGGCAAAGAAATAATTGGCAGCTCGGCTAGGACTTGCTCTGTGGTGACAAAAACAAGAAAATCCTTCCAAGAATCGAGGAAAAAACTATCTTCTCATTTAGAAACAGATTCATCAGAAACTAGTAGTGTTGATGATGAGTCGAGAGTGTCAGAAATTATTCCCTCATCGGGAAATATTCAAATAGGGCTTCGGTCCAAATTAAAATATGCCGAGTCCCGTGAACATAGATTGATGGAAGTGGGGAGCTCTGGTATGGCATCAAATGGTAGATCTCCAAGGATATTGGGGCAAAAATCTGTGTTGAGCAGCCAAGACACCCTATTGGGTTCCTCTATTCCCTTGGCATCTAAAAGCGCCCAGGGGGCAAGAAACAATACTAATGCAAGTAGATATGGTTTGAGAAATTTAAAATGCAGTTCAATATCTGATGTTCTTCCTTCAGGTTGTTCATCATCAGAACCAAACCTCAGTAGAAGGAATGGTATGGTAAAAAAGAGAAATCCTGAAGGGGAAAGTAGTTCGTCTGCCAGAGGGAAAAAGATGATCGGATCATCAGCACAAGAGGGGCATGGTTCCTTTTCTACCAGTGGCATCTCCATTTCTGATTCAAGACGAGCCAGAAATTGGCCTCCTAGCAGGGATAATGGTGTTGTGTCAGTTAGGACTCGGAGGTCAATAATTGGCGACACTAGAACCAGGCTTTCTAATGAAGGAAATGGGAACAATGTGTCATTGATTGAATCCTCTGGTATGATTCCTCAAATGCCTCAACCTGAGATGCAAGTTGGCGTAAATGTTCCTAGTTCATTGCTTCAGTTTTCAGTCGAAGCTTCTTCAAGTCATTCAAATTTTAATGGTTGTTCAAGTACTAGTGGTGGCAATATGCCAATTATGATGCCAACTGATCTTGAAGAACATGGAATTACCCGTTCTTCAATGTATCGTAATGGCTTGCGGCGATATAACATGGATGGGATTGCTGAGGTATTTTGTCTATATTATTATTCGAGTTACCTTCTGTTTCTAACTGTTACCTTTAGTGAAGCGAAGTTTTGGTGTATCTTAAAGTTTTTTCATATTTCTGATTACCGTCCAGGTACTTTTAGCGCTAGAGAGGATTGAACAAGATGAAGAATTAACATATGAGGTGGTCAATCTTGAACACTTCATTTCTGCAATTTTATCCTCCTTGTTGGCAACTTGTTGATTAACTTTATTTTTTATTTTTTTTGGTCCTGCAGCAATTAGTTGCTCTGGAGACAAATTTATTCCTTGGCGACCTTGGCTTCTACGATCAGCATAGAGACATGAGACTGGACATTGATAATATGTCATATGAGGTTTATTATTATTTTATAGCACTCCTACAAGTTGGCTTTGATTTATTTGTTTCCAGAATATTTTTCTTTATCCCTGCCATCTTAGAGATTTCTTTATGCTTGCAATCCTCTGAATTACCTTAATTTTTTAGAGTTGTGTTGACATTCTTAAAAAATAACAATATATAAGCAAACATTTGTCTGGTGGTTTTAAAACAACTACTATCTCAGTTTAACTATGTTATCTTAAGCTGGTCTATCAACAGTATATTGCCGCTGCTGTAACAGGAGTTATTAGCTCTAGAGGAGAAAATGGGTACTGTGAGCACAGCACTACCAGAAGAAGCATTGTCCAAATGTCTTGAGAGAAGGATCTATCAGACTACATCTCCACGTGAAGGAATTATAGGGTGCAACAGAGATGAAGTTGATACCAAATGCAGTATTTGTCAGGTCTGCCGACTTTGACCTCAGATATTTCTCAATTAATTTGTTTTTTCTCTGTCTAATTTTACTGCAATTATAACTATAATTGCAATCGGGCTTCCCGGTTTGGTGGGTGTCAAACCTCAAGCCAAACAAGGGTTTAACAGCGTGATTTTGAATCTAATTTGGCCAAACCTCAGACAATTCTCTTTTTGCAGGTTTGTTGGCTTAGGCAGGTTTAGATGCTGTTACGAAAAAAAAAATGTGCAAATTGAGTTCATGACCTGGTAGATAATTATGGTATTAGTTTAGTTGGCTTGCCTCTTTGTAAAACCACCCTGTTTCACGTCTATCATTATTTCATTGATCTGAAATGCATCCAACGTGACCAAAAAAAAAAAAAAACAAAGCATCTACTGCAACCTAGTGACATGTATAGCAATTACAAACAGGGTTTTGTTTGGTATGCCTTATGCTCCAAATTTTTATTTTATTTTTTCCCATGGCAATGGTTAGTAGTTTAGTTGGGGGAGGGGGGAATCAAACTTAGGATCAGTAGGGTGGGGGGCACTTTTGGCCTGGCCTTTTTTTATCACTCGGGCAACACCGCCACACCTCCTTATGCTCCAATTTGGTTCTTGCTTTTGTAATTCAAGCACTCCAATGTTATATATGAACTCTACAAAAAAAATAAAAAAATAAAAAAAGGGGGTCAAGATTTAGGTAGCACAAACAGAACTACGTACAATTCATTTTCGGGATACTCCTCACTTAAGTTTCACATGCTCCTTAGCTTTGAATGAACCTAACTGGAATGTATATTTGATTAGCTGTTGCTTTGCAGACACCCTAATTGCAACTTATCCTCTCCTTCCCCTGAAACCTTTTCAAGAATTGTTTTTTTAATCTCCTGTTAAACCTTTTAGTTATAAAGTTCCGTCTGCTATTGTGTATCTTTTGCAGGAAGAGTATGTGGTTGGAGATGAGGTGGGGAGGTTGGAATGTGATCATGGGTATCATATGGCCTGTATACACCAATGGCTGCGGCTGAAGAATTGGTGCCCAATCTGCAAGGGTTCGGCAGCACCCTCACAATCATCACAATTCTAATAGCAAATAAAAAAAATTCGTTGTGGTAGTCGTATCATTCACTCTGTACAAATCATGGGGGACTCTTCATGTCTCTTTTCTTATTCTGTTTCTTATGTACATAAGAAACCCCTTCCATCCCAATTCAACCAATAAACTCAAGCTCTTCACTCTGTGATGATGGGAGCTTCATACTCCTCTGTAGAACTTTGAATGAAAGAACTCTCAAATTTCTACTGTTCATATGAAAATGATGTTCATAGTTTTCTTGTTTTTCTTTGACACTTTTTTTTGTTTTCTTTTTTCTTCCGTGGTTGTTTAGAAGTATGAGGCAATGAATGATGTTGGTATCCTTGTGAAAACACAGCAGGAAAGCAGAAAAGAGTCTTGGCAGAAAAATGCAATTTTAATGGGAAAGAAGTTGCCACTGTAAACGTGGAGAACAAACTAACAAATGACAATGGCTGCGTGCTATTGAAAAGATCAAGTTTGAACTTGGATGGATAGATCAGTTTGCATATTACAAGCGTGGTATTCTTTTTCCTTTTTTAGTTCTTCAGCAGTGTAACCAGAAACCAGTTTTTCCCAATTCCATTTTACCTCATGTTTGAGCTGATGATTTGTTATTCGATTTTGCAAAAGAAGACGAACACATTATCATTATAAAACGTAAATTCTATAACATGAGGCTGTCAGATTTTACAAGACCTTACTCGGCTCTGCCCCTCCCTATCCTCTTTCCTGGAAAAGCTTTCCTTTGTCAACTTCAATTACAAAACTCTCTTGCAGTCAAATTGCTGAGATTTTTGCTCCCATAACTGCTGCTGGGATCAAATATGTTAAAAATTTCATTAGAGATGCAGCAAAAACTCCCATGTGTCCTTGTTTGAATATAATATCGCCCTCCATTTATCTCAGTTCTGATGCTTTAAATCAATGATATTTAAGACTGCTTTGGCGCCAATGCTAAATTCCAAACTAAATACCTTGGTCTGCCTCTTATATGCACTAAGAAGAAGGCTGTTGATTACAATGCTTTTGAAAAGATGATCTTCTCCAAGGTCAAGTCTCGAGCTAACAGCTTGCATTCTTATGTTGGCAGGGTTTAACTCATCAAGTCAGTCCATAGTATCCAAATTTAACATATTCCTAATAGGCTCATCAATTAGCTTGTTCAAGCCATGAGATCCTTCCTGTGGAAGGCCGTTGAAAGGAAAACTATTGGTGCTTGGTTCAACTTTTATATATAAACAAGGATTTTGTTGCCCAAAGACCATTATAGTCACAATTCAAAGACTCTAACAACCACTAGGGTAATATATCCGTGTCTAAATCTCCCCTTTTGATGATGGGCAGCTCACTTACTCAACCTACGGGCTACCACTATTTATGAAAAAAATAATAATAATAACTCAGAAGACTGATCAAATCTCCAACTCGATATTTTTCACATAAATCAGCAGCCAAGCAATTTGAAGGTTTGAGAGCCATAACCTGTTTGCAATCTCCTATAACCACGCTGCCAGTGTATCCCCATTGAAGCATGAGTTTCAAACCTTCGTTAAGAACAGCTGTGTCTGCATTACCTATATGTTGAAAGCAAACTAAAGCCACCTTCAAAGCTCTACCATAAGAGTCTCTCAACAACATTCCACCCCAACATACCCTGGACTTAACATTGAATGAGGCATCCGCGTTAAGCTGCAGACTGTCATGAATAGGAGCTTTCCAACAACTGGAATTAGGCTGAGTAGTACTCCGCAACATACCCTTAAACGCATAAAACTGGACAATCTGTCCAAAATTTTATCGGGTTCCATCTAATTCCCCCGAAACACGAATCATTTCTACACTAGCATAATTGCCAACAAATAATGGAACTCAATGAAAAGAGATCTTCCACCCCCTCTGAATCTGCCCACAAGTTATTTAGATAAACACAAACTTGCTGCAATGACATTTGTCTTTCAGAGCCAAAATCCAATCTCAAAGGGCTTGCATTCCACACAAACCTAGCAATAGGACAAAAATGTGACAGGTGGGATATAGATTCCTCTTTAACCACACAACCTGCAAAAAGCAATGTCCACCATGACCCTGGCCTCAGGTTGCACAAAACAAGCAAATCCAGAACTGAACTGGCACGATACAACTTCTTCCTTCATTTCCATCCCAAACACAGAACCATGCCAATCCGTACTAAGTTGGCATTGTTGGGAAATTAGCCAAGTGACTGTTTGCATGGTCCAACTTCCTCTTTTGCCTAATCAAGATTCTAGAGTCCAATCAAATGATTCTATAAATAAAGTCAGTTCTGTTGCAAAAAGAGGACCTAGAAGGGAGTATGATACCAAGTAAAAATGACCATCTCTTGCAGCACCATCAACGCACCAGTAAGGTGTCTAAACTGCTGGCCTATAACTAGAAGCAAAGAGCATTTCAATCATAGGATAGATCATAGTCAAGGAGCAATCGAGTTTAGTTACATTACTGGAAGAAGACCAAACCTCAATTTGGGGACAATGCTACACCATATTTAAGCCATGCAATTCCGATGTGCCCAAAGGCCATGGTGGAAATGTTAGTTCATGGTTAGTTTGAATCTCCTAATTTTTTTATTTTATTTTTTTCCGGTTAAATCCAGAATAATAGCTTATGCGAGACTTACCTGAAGTATAGGAGATTGACTCATAAAGAAGTCCTACTGGTTTAAATCAACCTAATAGCAGCTGGTAGCAAGTTATTTTGGAAAGGGAATTAAAAGAAAAGTTGTTGTGAGAACCAAGGGCAAGCCATTGGACCAAAAGCTGTTTCTAGACAAACCAAGTTTCCTTACATGACCATTACCAAAAAGGAAAAAAAGAGAAGAAAAGAGAAGAGAAGGTTTCCTCTTATGATATTTTTTTAAGCATAGAAAAGACCTTGCCTTTCTAAGCCATGATAAGAAAATATTTCTGTGACTTTGTTTATCCATTAAATTAATCCAACCTTCCACTTTGGCGTGACCAGGAAGCTTAAGCCATATCACACAAAGTTTATGAAAATAGCACCTCCTGAGAACAAACAAAATCATCATCGACACATTTCACATAAATATTAGTTATGCCAACTAAAATTTATAGTTACCTATTGTCCAAACAATACATGCATATTTAGTCTCATACACGTTTAAACTGTATAGATCCATCTCCTAAGTTACATTATAGTAACTAGAACCCACTCAAAGAATCCTATTATCTTTTTCCTTTCTTCTCCCTCTACCAGTCTTGAACCCTTGACCTAAGGCTCGAGAATGTGACCTAAAGCCACTAGGACAAAGGCGGACCAGTAAAGAATCCTATTATCTTTACCAAGTTCAAAATTATCCTATTATCCACTACAACTTCATTGTCAATGTAAGAACTGAACAACCATGGGTGGAAATAGCATACAGTAAGGACCATGCAAAAAAAGCATGTTCACAGTTCTCATGTACTATATTTTAACTTCTTTGCTTTTTTAATCATGTTTGAATGCATAAAGGTTATCACTTCTTGTTTGTCTCCTAGTTTTAATCCTCTTGGTAATATTATTATATTTTCTACACCACAAAGATAATAACAACCATCTGACCTGCAAACCAACCTTTTCCATTTAGATCAATGGCCTTTGTTTTGAACCATCGGTAAAGAGGTCAAGCCTTTCACTTAACAGAGAAGATATCAGAATCAGTATGCATTTATATCCAAGGGAATTGTATTTATAATGAGGTTATATCTTGATATTCTGTGTGTGTGTGTGTATATACATATATAATATTTTAAAGAAGGGTTGTAGGAACAAGGCACATGGAAAATTGTATCAAATCTCTTTTATAAAAGATCAGATAATCAAAAGATCAAGTCCAACACAAGGCTTGAGAAACACCATGTAGTTTACACCAATGTTAATATGATCATAGCATGAGATGCATCAATAACTCAGGAACACCAATAAATAATATATCAAAAGCAGTAAAATTTATATAAAATAAATTCTGCCACTTCGAAGTTTGTATTATCCTTTCCAGAGCAAAGATACAATAATACTAACATTTAATAACATAATGATTCAGGAGTCTTACTCTAAAACAAAAATGTATTACTACTTAAGAAGTACATTCTAAATAATTGTATCATTGTCATTGAAAGGAAATTTCGAGACAACAATTACAAACGGAATAGATTACAAATATGATAAAAATAAGATTTCTTTCTCCAAAATAAAAGATAGATTAACTCATGATGCAAGAGATCACATATGACTAAAAAAATCTAATATCCATATCTTCTCTCCATAGATATAATACATTGGATGTAATGTAATCACTAAATTACAATCTTATATGGTGCATTTGTAGTAAAAATTAAATCATAGCTTATGTCTGGATTTGAAATTATTATGAAATTCTAAGATCACAGGAACTTCTTGATTGGCATGAGATCAAGAGCCTTAGTTTGTAGCTTCCAGAGAGGGTATGTTTTCTCTAACCAAGAAACGGCTACCACATTATCAAGATCCCTCAAAATCACTCACATATGCCTTCATTTTTTTTTTTTGTCCCTCTTCCATCCATTTCACCAAAATTAGAAATAAATATATATCACCAATAGAGGAATCACCATGTCACTAGAAATGCAAATAACTGACAACATCCATGAACCAGCATAATATTTGGATAGAAAATTCATTAGAAAAAGTAACAGCAAAATGCAAAAATATGGATTACAGTCATTATATACCTGAACTCGAGTCACATCTTTCTCTCTACCTGTGTCTACACCATCAATGGGATCCAAACCCTAGAAAACTTACGGTTACAGAATCAGACTTCTGTCTGCTGATGTGTCAGTGGTGACATGGAGTAGATTAATGGTAGTCATAATAAGGAGCGAAGGATCCCCACCAACTGATAATTTCTTAGAAAAAGAAGAAATTGTTGAAGACCGGCCACTGGTTGATAAAAAAATAGACTATAGCTTGCAAGGCAGGACTCCAAGAGAATGCTAGAAAATGGACTTACAGAGACTATTCACTTCACGATATCCTTGTTTAAAAACGCTCATAGCGCACAAGCGAGCACCTAATAAGCAAGAAGAATAAAAGATGTAAGATAAAAGATCTAGACACATAGTCTGCAAGATGTGTGTGAGCAAATAAAAAAATCTGGAGAAAGAAGAATCAAAGAGAAAAAGTAAAGGAGCATGCGAAACCTACATATAATCCAAATGCTACTTTCCTGTTGCGATTGAGCAATGCAATTTGCAATTTGGATATTCATACGCTTACTAAAGAAATGGAAATAAAGAAACCTACTTTGGCATGGTCAGTAACAAGTTCAGGCCTCTTTAAAAACTGAGAATATGTAGATTGTGGGCAAAAGATGAATAACAACCTCTTTTTAGTTCTTTGATCTTTAAGATAAAGTGCATCTTTAATCTTCTTCTTTCAGCTTCTGTTTCAAAATGTCAGGCACTGTGGTTCAATCTGCATCGCATCAATCTTCACTTTTACCTGAACAAACTTCCATTTTAATTTATGCATTCTGCTAGCAACTGAAACCAAGTGTCAGCCTAGGATTTATTTGATATCCCCAAAAGAGCAATATCATTTAAATATGTAATACAATTGTTTCACCAAAGAGATATTTAATAGCCTAAAAGATAAAGAATTAAGCATATGACCTCATAAGACTTTTTCTTTAACAGATTTACGAGCTTCAACTTTATAGAAGCACGGTTTACCATTTATGATCATTATATGTGCATTCTTTATTTATTCTTTTCCCCTTTCTTTTTTTGTTCAAGGGTAAAAGGATTCCTATACATGAAACCAGCAGTGATGCAGAACATGAAAGATAAAAAAACTAATGAAGCAAACTAATACTCACTTCCTTGTGAGAGTGCAAGGTAGTAATAAAAAGATAAATAAATAACACACTAGTAACCATTCCAGAGTATACCGCACTTCGCAATACGTAAACTGATATCACACAACACAATAATTGCAGTTTTTACTGAATTACCATATATTGAAGAAAAATCATCAATCTCAAATTTAATGAGAAGGTTTAGTATCACGCTGAATAATTCACAATGAAAATATATGATTCTTATCAATTAGTCTGCATAACTTTTACCCATTTCCATTTAATCTTAAATTTTATTTCTCATGAATGTTCCCCCCTTCAGAAATTTTCTACAATATATCAGTCCTATTCTCCTTGCCGGCTGAGGCAAGATTGTCCCTTTCCTTAAGGTTTTAAGAACGAATGAATACAGACCAGCTTCATGGCATCCAAATAATAACTACAGCATGACTGTTCCTTTCCTTACAGTTTCAAGAAAGAATGAATACATACCAACTTCGTAGCATCCAAATAATAAATACAGCATCGATCCTTTGCAAGTTGGATGGTCAAAATTAACCAGATTAGTCCTATTCTCCTTGCTGGCTGAAGAGAGATTGTTCCTTTCCTTACGGTTTAAAGAAAGAATGAATACATACCATCTTCGTACATCCAAATAATAAATACAGCATTGATCCTTTGCAAGTTGGATGGGTAATATAAAATATAAATACAGCATTGATCCTTTGTAAGTTGGATGGTTAAAATAAAATAAGTCACAACATATAATATGCATGAAGTCTAGCAACTCCCACTGAAACTGTAAGCCATGAAATTGCTGAGACATGCAGGTATATTGATCAAATCTGAATAAAACACATCATATTTCCCAAGAAAACATATGATTGATAACTTTATCTTATAAAATAGAATAAAATTATTAAAAGAAGAAAACATAGTTGAAACAACAAAAAACTTCCACAGACAAAATTTTAAAATCTCATTTAGTAGTGACACTCAAATCCAGACCATAAAAAACAATTCAATGGATGTTAATCTGTTATTGATATTGAGATTTCAATCAATTTCAGATATGAAAATACATACATAGAGATTCTGCAGCTCTTACATACTGTGACTTTTGCCTTTCACCAAGCTACACAACAATCTCTCTCCAAAACTTCTCCAGATTTCCTCTTCATTGGCTGTAAATTACATGGCAAATCCAAGATCTGCAGAGCTGGCATCAGACAGTGACATGAATTCTAAACGTACAACAGGGCAACCAAACATGGACATTCTGTTTGAAACTGTCCTTAGTTGGTTACTGTTTTGAAAATATTCTTGATTGTGTACAGGAGGTGCAGCAGTTAAATACAGATATGTCAAGCTTAGAGCCTCATTCATCTTCCAAGGCTCAAAGCTTCATCTGAGCAGAGTCATCTGGTTAATCATGACTAAAAGATGGCAAATAGTTGTATCAGTGGTGTCCAAATTCACTTGTCAATCTCTTCAACCAGAATAGACCAAGTCAACTATATATCTGGGAAACACCAATAGCTCTACCGATGTCTTATTCCTCAAATGCGTGCATACAGATCTTCTCCAGCAGCAATGGCCAGTTTTCTCCAAGTTGCTGTGGGTTTAACTCCATTGCAACCTTAAAATCAAGCAAAGATATCGAGCAACGGGGTCTCTGGTCCTGCAAAACTTCCATAGGCCCAACACTATGCATATGTAAGTGATTGCTCGGCCACATGCCATTAATAAGCTTGCCTTGAATCTGCTGTTTCTGAGCAGGTTGCTTCTTCGTTTCAGGTGACCTGGCCCCAACCAACTCAATGCAAGACCTGATCAAATGTTTCAAGTACACATCCAACATGTTATTCAACATATTAGCACATTCAATAGAAACCCCTTTGAGGCCCTGTGCTGCTGCAATCTGCTCCATGCATTTCTTCAGTGTCTCTGTATCTGACAAACCCCCGCTGTCAAAATAGTGAACAACATTATTAGTGCTTGCTACGGGCAAGGTTTTGTGGGCCCCACCTACACTAGCTGAGCAAAATGGAATCCCAAGAGGAGCAATGAGAGGACTTCTAGAGATATTCAAGTGGTTGGACTGTTCACCCGCTCCCCCATCTTCAACAACAGCTACCTGGCTCTGGTCCTTACTGTGTACATGGAGAGAAAGCAGACTATCTGTTGATTTCTTTATTTTAGACCTTCCATTATCAGGTTGCTCAGCAAGTCCTTGAGGATGTTGCATTAGTCTTTCGTGATCATGTGGAGTCAAACTCCCATTTGCCATAACAGTCTTCATACCACTATCTTCTGTAGCCATTGATTGATGCGACACACTATCTGCTTTCTTATTAGGTCCAAGAGGGCTAGGCCGATCCTTGAACTTCCGGTCACGAATTGCAGACCTTCCCTTACGCGGGGACACTGGCAAAACAACACCATTCGACCAAACAGGTATGCTTGGAGTATGATTCAGAACAACTGAGTCACTCTGTTCATGTCCATCTTCTGCAGGAGAAAATTTTCCAGCTCCTACAGCAGATGTTGTGGGTCCCACCACATGAATTGGCGGCGGAGTCTTTGCTTGACAGGCATTCTTTAAGATCGACCGTATAAACTGATTATGCAATGGCAGATTCTCTTTTCCAAGCAGCCGAAAACACAACTTATCAAACTCACCCTTGCTCAATTTCTGGCTTAACAATCTATTCAAGTAATAAAAATAACGCCTTGACCTCTCCATCCCAATCTTCTTTACAATCTGAGCCTTCAATTCTGCAACATCAATTCGTGACTTCTGCTGTGGTTGCATTTCTCAGCTAATAAACTCATACAATATCAACAGCCAATATAAACCCCCTTCAAGAACCCGAAATCAATCCGAATTATGGATAGTTCCCTATCCAAACAATCCTGGATTCAACCATCCACATACAGTACAATGCAGGGACGAATCTCATCTTCACAAAACCGGAACCATAGGAATCAAATTACAGCCCTCGAGCAGAGATCAAAGTAATTACAAAGCCCTAATACTACTTAATCATATTCAAATTCTTCATAAATCAAAACCCTAACTTTGAATCACCAAACTCCACATGTTCTTAGCTTCCAACTGTAAAAAAACCGTAAAAAATAAAAATAAAAAATCATCACTGCACTGTTCGAACAGAACACTCATTTTATTCAAAATTCAACGACCCAGTAGTGGCAATTTACTCTTCTTACACTGAGATCGCGAAGGGAGTTAAATACAGAGAGATCGACAGTGACTTCAAAGGTTCGAATTTACCGAGAAAAAACAAAGATAAATAGCACAATAAAGACTGTAATAAGCTTCGAAAAAAACCTATGAGTGAATCGTAAGTGTGAAAATTGGTTCTGACCTTCTACCAGCGAAGCGAAATTCGAATTTGCTGCAGCGACAAAAGCTTCGAGTGTTGAGCGACTTCGTTGCTGTTCCGATGCCTTCGTAGCTTTTCTTCGAATTCGATTGTTTCTTTGCTTTCGATTCCTCGAACGAGCTTCGATCTCTCTGTCTCTCTCTCTATTCTCAGATTGTTCACTGAAATCACTGCATTGGTTGTTTTATTTGTTTTCAGTTTTTTCTTTTTTGGTTGCTGATTTATCGCGCTCTTCGTGAAATTGGAATGAACCCTCGGTCGCTGCAGCTAATACTCTCTCTCTCTCTACTTTCTCTCTCCTCTTTGTATAATCTTACTTACTCATATGAATGGAATATTGGGAGCATGAGAGTAAATCAAATCATTAAATGTGCTTCATAAAATGTTTACTACTGATCAAGCAAAGAAGGACACATAAACACTATTGCTTTAGTCAATTCTGGTGTTGATCTGAATTGCATATCAGAAGAATACTTAGTTACCACACAAATTTTTTTTTTTTTTTTTTTCTTCCATAATTACCACAGAAATTATTTATTCATTTCTAAATATTATTTTGTGAATATTCTAAATTATGCAAGTATTCTCAATATTCCAAGGGTTATGGATTAAGATTGACTAGTAGAATTAAAGAATTTGTTTTCCCATTACAAATGGAAATTATTAGAAGGTTTAATTTCCCAAAAAAAAAATTAAAAACCGAAAAGAACTATGAATATCTAACACCTCTTGTGCAAAATTTAGTGAACTTTGGTTAAAAAATGGGGAAGGAATCTTTTATCTTTATTTTGTGTTTTGGGTAATGAAAGTAAATTAATTTGCATAACCACAATCACCATTAAATAATTTCACCAGAGTAAGTTCAAAGTAAAAGTTTAACATTCTCAAAAGTTGAACATCCCGTTCAAAAAAAAAAAAAAAAAAAAACGTATTTAGTGACTCTTTAGGTTCGCCTTTCATTAAGATATTACATTTTACTATTAACTATCAAATATGATCACATTAGTTGGTAATACTCAAATAATATACCCAAGATGAATGATTATTATTGATGTTGTTTTTCTACATTAAATTGAGCTGAGTTGACAATGAACAATATTAAAATTGTACATCTAAGTGAAGATTCACAATTAAAGTATTAACTAGACCCAATGGTTATTAACATTTATTGCATTTTTTTTTTTTTTTATGAAGATGGCAAGACATGATGGCAAAATTTTCAAAAAAAAAATTTTCAACATAAACATGCTAAAAATTCATGTGCAATTTAAGCTTTTAAGAATCAAAATCTTATTCTTGTAACTTAGTTGATTTTAAATGACATCCTTAACTATTTATAGACATTTTATATGCATTCTAAAACTTTTGATATTAATATATATTATTTTAGAATCTTTCAACTCTCTGTAATAATGTATGAGAGACTTTAATCATTTGAATATTATCTAAAAAAATAATTTTAATCACTTTGTCATTCTTATTTTATTGAGATTTAAGTTGTCTAATAATGCTATAAGAATTAAAATTATCTATGTATTTGGAATTAAAATTATCTTGACTGAGGGAGAGATGTGACTAAGCCACAAGCTTCTTCACAACAAAAAAAAAAAAAAAATCCTATTATCATCTTTATTGACCACTGTTCTTATTCTCTCTTCAAATTTTTTATATTATATACAACTTACTTGCTATATTTAATTTAAAAATTATTTTTAATAACATCTTCAATTTTAATTATAGTCCAATTTTTTATATTACATGCTAGCTCACTTATTATATTAAATTTTTTTATTTTTAAGAACACTTTTTATTATAAATTTACAACTATAACACAAATTACCTATTACTTCCGTCTCCCGAGTATCCTATTTATGTACTTTCTGGCCTAAATTAAATGTCACAAATAATAAAAAACAACGTCTAATTCGAAACGGGACGGGACGGGACGAAGGTAGTACTATTTATTTATTTTATTTTGCATATATGTATGTCTGGGCTCTTTAGGTAACGGTTGATCATAAATGGGTTCCCTAACTCTGTAATTCTAGGGTTTTTAAAGTAAAAAGAAAGTGGTAATCTCTTCCTTGCAATGACAGTATTAGGGTTTTGTTTGTTGATTCATTTTCCTTCTATCTATGTGTTGTTTCAGGCAAGGCAATCCACTAGATTAGATTAGAAGAAAATGTCAGACTTTTCTACCTCCAGATTTGTTGATGGAAATCCTCGCTAAACTGCCTATCAAGATCCTTGTATAATGCGCCTGTGTCTGTAAATCGTGGTACTCTCTGTAAACTATAATTATTCATGTTAAGCCATTCATTACAAATAAACATGAATTCTAGGATCTTAAAACTTCATTATTTTTCACATAGTCTATAATGCATATATAATGCATAAATAAATACTAATTAGATATAAATACCTCGATCTGTGATTGCAAATAACGTAGAGATCAAGTCCAACTTCGAGATCCTTTCTGCAGAACGAACAACGAGATAAACTGCAATAGCCAAAGTATGGAAACCGATTTATCTCTCTTGGCATTTTGCACACATAAATATTATACGTGTTGTATTCATTATTGTACATAATTGATGGAATATATGCACTTTTATAAAAGCAGAGAGATGACCAGTTTTCGTTTTTAGTAACCTTAATTCTACTTTCCATCAAAGTAAGGAAAAAATAGGAAAACACTTCTCCAATAATTAATTACCATAAAGGTAATTTATAAGTTAACCAAATAATATAATATTAATCTGATACCTATTTACTTAACTACTAATTAATGAAATATATCACATGTCCAAAACATGTGGGCCACACAATATAAGAAAATATCTTACAGCCTCCCACTTGGCCCATATGATAACTTCGGTAGCGGTTTAGTAAAATAGTCATTAGTGTGCACCATAAATCAGATTGACTTATTAAATTGGTCATTATAAATACCATGGTAAATAAGCTACTAATGCGAGTCATGGCGGTTATATGTCCTTAAATGACACAGTTCCTTCCATTTACCACAACACTAGTAATTTATTCAACATAGTTTATAAATGAGAAGTATCAATAATGATCTAACAACAATGTCTTTTCCAAGACTATTCCTATTATCATTTATTAAAGCAATACGTACATGTATATTAATTAATAGGAAATATCATAAACACATTTAATCAGCGCAAAATGTCAAATACATATAAATACTGTTAAGCAATCCACAATTAAAAAATAATCATCATTGACTACATTCAAGACCCATTCTTTCAACACGTTCCATAAATGTCTTGGGTGGTAGTTCATTCATTAATGGATTGAAATCATAATGAATTGTGTATTTATATGTTCAATAAATATTCTTTGTTTCTAAATATCTTCTTTAATGATAAAGTATTTCAACTTTAGAGTACTTATTATTTTTCATACAAGAAGATCAACAATTACAGAATAAATTTTCAGCAATCTGAAAATAGTACCCATAACTCCAAGTCCTGAAATAAATTCTGCAACAATAAATTGTAGCCTCAAAGCATGATACAAATTAAAAAATTCATAATAGACAAAGTAATAATAAATTACTTTGCACTTTTCATAATATTGTTCCTCCAACCAAATCTTCTAGAATTCTTTTAATATATGCTTTATGAGACAATTCTAAAAAATCCACGTGATCTATTATGAAATATTTATATTCGTATTACGTAAAATGTCTTATTCATATATTTTATTTCAAAGTTCTTAGAGATAACTTTTAGTTTCTAATAATAAATTAAGATCACTACTAGCAAACAAAATATCATCAATATATATAGAATCAGAAATATAAACTTACTCCCACTAACTTTATAGTATATACACTGGTCAACAGTGTTTTACTTAAAACAAAAAGAAATAATGGTATCATTGAACTTAATATACCATTGTCAGGAAGCTTGTTTAAGTTCATATATTAACATCTTAAGTTTACAGACCATGTATTCTTTACTCTTTAATGTAAAGCCTTCAGGTTGTTCCATATAGACTTCATCTTTCTAAACTTCCATTCAGAAAATCAATCAAAATTAAATTCTTTCAGATATACCACATAGTCATCTGGAATAGCAGATCTCCTTTTTGAGATCGTCTTAATGTTATTCCTTATGATCCTTTTATGATATATTCATTGATGACAATCTCATCATGGAGTTGTTGATCATTCAATTATTCTTCGATGTTATACAATTCAACAACTGAAAGAACAATTATTTCTTTAGAAGTTATGAGTAAAGAAATTTGTACCTTAACTTCTTAAATGATCACATTCTTATTTTTATCACTCCCACTGACTTCACCATTTTTAATGAATCTGACATTACTAGTTTCAATAATTATCGTACTGTGTTTAGGAAAGTAAAACTTGTACCCTTTAGATTACTTAATATCCACAACATTATGGGTAACGAGGAATTACTTAACATACTCCTAACCAATTCCATGAGAGTACGATTATGCTTTACAGCTACACGCTTCTGTTGTAGTATGTATAGTAAAGTGTATTGAGCACAAATGTCATACATTTCAAGGAGTTTGGCAAACGGTTAGAGTATTAACTCGTTTCATCATACTTTCCATAATATTCACTACGTCTATATGACCTTATAATTTTCACTTTTCTATCTAGTTGTTTTTCAACCTCATTTATGTATACTTCAAGAATACCCACTGCTTGAGATTTTTCATGCAACAAATAGATATATCCATAACTTGAAAAATCAACTATAAAGGCGATAAAATACTTTTCTTCTCCAAAAGATGGAACATCAGAAGGTTTACAAATGTCTGTATGAATAATTTCAAGAAGCTCTGTACTTCTTGTGGCTCATTTCTTTGTGTGTTTGATTTGTTTACCTTTAATACAATCTACACAAACACTAAAATTAGTAAAGTTTAGATTCAGAATAATCACATCCTTTATTAATTTTCCTAACATTTTACTAGATATTGATCTAGTCTTTTATGTCACAAGAAATATAAATTTTCTATTAATTTAGCTACGTTTAATTATAACATTATGATGCAAGATCAAAAGGTTTTTAATAAATAAACTATCAAGTTTGAATTTACTGAAATTATTAACAATAATACAATAACTCATAAATCTTAAATAAACATCATTATCAAATTTAAATGAAAAACTATTAACATAAAGTTTTGAAATAAAATCAAATTATAGGAAATTGAATAAACCTAAAAAGTTTAAAATAATTTAAATAAAATCCACTGTCTAACATTAAACATAATGTCACAATGGTTTCAACAAAATATTTTTCCCAATTATCATAAATAAGAAATTCTTATTTGAATTTGTGATTTAGGCCATAAGAAATTCTTGCATTTATTAGAAATATAAACATTAGTACTTAAGTCAACCTATCATGTATTAAAAAGAATGTTAATAAGTAATTCGAAATATACAAAAGCCCTTACCATTCTTTTTCGAATCATTCTTTATATTTTATGTAATCTTTCTAAAAGTGTTCAATACATCAATGCCACTTTTTCATTATAACATTCATTTCTTTTAGTAGATTGACCTAGATCTTTTAATTTTGGGTGTTGCTCACATAAT